GGGACCAACTAAGGTCGATGGGGCGGTGACCCCATTCACCCTAACAGTCCAGTCCCCACTGCTTTGAATGGAACAAGTATTACTGCACTTATTTCAAAATTTGGCAGGCCAGTTCTGCTTCCTTGGGGTGGGTTCATGTTCATTCTGCTGAATAGGGCCTGGACCTCTAACCCCAAATTCCTTTTCCGGTGGCATGAATGGATGTAAAAGCAGCTTGTCTAAGAGCACAGTTACACATGATGGTGGCGGATCAATGTCTTCCTAAAGAGGCTGCCACCTCTACATCAACGAAGCAACTAAATTTGAGTGTCCAAACATGCTGAACTGTTTATACAGTTAGCTACTTTATAATGCCAAGAGATCTGTTTTCAAGCGAAGAAATAAATGAAAACGGGAAAGCAGCAGCAAGAGAACACTGTTCTTCTCCCTCTCACATCCACACCCACTCCTCAAGGTGTTTTCTCCCTTTCAGACTAATTTCCCACCCAGTGAATTTGTGCCGGACTTTGTGCAGCTCAGACCGTTAGCCATTCTGCAACGCCACGTGGGCAAGTGTTGTGGGCAATGAATGCATATAATCAAGTATACACAGAGTGAAACAGACACGAATAATTCATTTCATGTGATGATGTCTTGTGTACATGGTTCACTCCCTCTAATAAATATGTGATCTGTGCAGGTAACTTGGCATACGTGAATTGATCCAATGAGTTCCAGCTGGATCCAAGCTTATTCAGAAGTAATTCCTAATTAATTCCATGGAATTTATACCCAGATGTATGTCATTTCCAACAAAATGGTGGTGGCCAACATTTGCAGAGAAACTGCTTGTGCAACTGTAGTATAACACAGAAACCACAATCAAACATGTCCACAGCTCTCTCCTTACAATGCACAGAGTCCTAGAAGCACCATTCAACAGGGTTTTCTTTGCTAGATTCTGGAACATTATATGGCACTTCAAATAAATTCAGAAACAGCTGCAGTGTTTTTGTTTTTTAAGTGTGTGAAAAGGGATTTGATTTTTTTCTGACTCATCTGCTTTGCGACAGTCGATCTTCAGAAATTCATTCTGTTTGTCTGAAAACTGCTTCGTAGTGACATAATTACTCAGAGTTGTGTAATTTGCAAAGAAACACCAGTGCTTTTGTAACTTCACAGTGCATTAAAAAGCCAAGCGGCGATGTGATGTGCAGTATGTTTTATGGCTAAAAGTGATATAATTGTATCCAGATGCAACGATTTGGTTGCGCAGAGGGATTGCTTATACAAACCTAGAATTAAAACCAAGGGGCACAATTCACCACCCATTGAAATAAAATGCAAAACTTCCTTTGAATGTGAGGGGTGTAAATTGCTGCTATGATGTCGCTATAATTGGGTGGCTTTTTTGTTTGTTGGGAGAATTTTAACTCCTCACTCTTTCAGACAAAAGGGTGGAGGCAAGAAACCCAACAAAATATATTGTTTCACCACAGAGGGTTGTATTCAATGTAACAGCAAGACTAAGGTTCCACCAGCACAAGGATTTTTCCTTGCATGACAGAGACTTCTCTCCCTCCTCTTCCTGCTGCACCCTCTAAATCTGTTCTGGGTTTCCCCCCCAAACCCCCAGAGCAGATTTGGCAATGGCACAACATACACATTGGGGGGAGGGGGGAGGAGAAGGTGGAAACCCCTTTGATAGCACAAAGGTTTGTTGAATGCAGAAGTATTTTATAACAACATACAGTGGTACCTCAGGTTACATACACTTCAGGTTACATACGCTTCAGGTTACAGACTCCGCGAACCCAGAAATAGTGCTTCAGGTTAAGAACTTTGCTTCAGGATAAGAACAGAAATCGTGCTCCAGCGGCGTGGCAGCAGCAGGAGGCCCCAATAGCTAAAGTGGTGTTTCAGGTTAAGAACAGTTTCAGGTTAAGAACGGACCTCCGGAACGAATTAAGTACTTAACCTGCGGTACCACTGTACAGGATGCTTATGCATTTTGGATAACCTAGTGTGAACACAGATTAAAAAACTAGCTCTGGAAATGCAGGGAGTGAGAATACAGCCTAAGTATGGCTTCACGTCCAGCAAAAACACACCACTTCCTTCCCACCCACCCTCTTCCAAGGCGAAACCGTCTCACTTCTCTTTTTCCTCCCACTTTTCGGACGTATTATAACTGTTCTCAATATATAACCTTTCTGTTGCTCCTTCAGCACTGTCCTCACCCCAGGCTTTTCACACCGTGCCCTCATCCAGCCAGCCTTCCCTCGAGAGGGTGACTCTTTGCAGCCATTGCCTCCCACGTCACTTTTTCCACAACACCAATATTCCTACTTTGCCTCTATCTGAAACTATGTGCGGAGGGGGGTGGGGTGGGGTGGCAGACAGCTGCACTTAATGAGACAGCTCTCTTAGGCCCCTTTGCCTGAGGCGGAGGTGGGGAAGCTTTCACTCCCTTGATTAATCATGTCTTTGGGGGGTCAACGGGAGGCAAGGAGGAGGAAATGTATCATCCCTTCTCAGCCTGTCTGTGAAATCATGCAGATTTCTACTCAAGGCTGCACTCCTGTGAACATGCAGCAGCCGCGGACAGCAGTAGAGGCTTCTCTGCTGAGTACTGAGAGCTGCACACCTGTAGTGTTCACATGTTTCAATTGCAGGTGGGTGCTGGTCTTTATTTTATTTTTTGATGCTTCAAGCCAGCTTCATATTTAGTGAAAGCCCTGTGGGTTTCTCCTCGGGTTCTCTATGTTTTCTGTAATGCATAGGAACCAACTTCTGGGGGCCAAGGTCATTCAAATGGTGTGCACCATGTCATGTGATCAATTATATGGGGCAGGGCTTCCCTGCTGCCTCAATTACGTTATTCAAGTTGGCTCCCCTGCTATCATGCAAGGAGCTGTACCTCAGTGAGGAACAGGGGTAAGGATGAGTGAACCCATTAATGCAATTCAAGGTCTATGCAAGACATTTTAGAGGAAAATTTAGAAAGACATTTAGAGGGATATTCAATTGACCTAACTGATACGGGCCAAGATGGTGCAGTTTGTGTTCATTTCATTAAGCCACATGCTCAGCTACATTCGGAAACTTCAGCTGGTGCAGAATTCAGCAGCCTTGTTGCTCACCGGAGCAAGACGGTTTGAGCATTTTGCACCGATCCTGGTCAGACTGCACTGGCTACCAATTACCAAATTTTTTGCTCTATAAGACTCACTTTTTCCCTCCTAAAAAGTAAGGGGAAATGTGTGTGCATCTTATGGAGCAAATGCAGACTGCGCAGCTATCCCAGAAGCCAGAACAGCAAGAGGGATTGCTCCTTTCACCGTGCAGCGATCCCTCTTGCTTTTCTGGCTTCTGAGATTCAGAATATTTTTTTTCTTGTTTCCCCCCTCCAAAAACTAGGTGCATCTTGTGGTCTGGTGTGTCTTATTGAGCGAAAAATACGGTAGTTTCTGCCAATTCAAAGTGCTGGTTTTGACGTATAAAGAATTAAATGGCTCAGGACCACAACACCTCAAGGACCGCTTCTTTCCATATGAACCTACCCGGATTCTGAGATCATCTTCTCAGGCCCGTCTTTGTGTGCTGCCTCCTCGAGAGGTCCAGAGGGTGGCAACACGAGAACTGGCCTTCTCTGCTGTGGCTCCCTGTCTGTGGAATGCTGTCCCCAGGGAAGTTTGCCTGGCACCTTCATTATACACCTTTAGACACCAGGCAAAAATGTTACTTTTTAACCAAGCCTTTGGCTGATCCGATTGACATCCTATGACCTTTTAAAATGTGTTTTTCGGGGGGGGGGGCTATTGGGTTGTTGTTTTTATTAGGTATTTTGTGGTTTTATATCTTGATTTTATTCTGTGAACTGCCCTGAGACCCCCGGGTATAGGGCGGTATATAAATTCAATAAATCATCATCATCATCATCCTGGATTCTGGCCCCTCGGTTAAATCCATCGACTGCCACATTGCCCTTAATGGCAACTTCAGGCCCACCGCCTATAATGGCCTGCCTCTGCTGCTGTGGCCCTCATGGACACATGGTTCAGAGCTAGGAATTATGTGCTCCTCCTCCTCCTCTAGGGACGCAGGTGGTGCTGTGGGTTAAACCACAGAGCTAGGACTTGCTGATCAGAAGGTTGGCGGTTCGAATCCCTGCGACGGGGTGAGCTCCCGTTGTTCCTGCCAACCTAGCAGTTTGAAAGCACATTAAAGTGCAAGTAGATAAATATGTACCGCTCTGGCGGGAAGGTAAACGGCGTTTCCGTGCGCTGCTCTGGTTCACCAGAAGTGGCTTAGTCATGCTGGCCACATGACCTGGAAGCTATACGCCGGCTCCCTCGGCCAATAAAGCAAGATGAGCGCTGCAACCCCAGAGTCGGTCCCGACTGGACCTAATGGTCAGGGGTCCCTTTACCTTTACCTCCTCCTCTGTGAAGCTCCACTCCAGCAAAGGAAGACAAAGACTTCGCTGGCATAAGAGTGCAAAAGCGTTAAGAGCATTTAAATGCGTGCTTGTGGAAACTGATAGAATAATAAGTTGACCGAATAGGGCAAGCCCCACATCAGCATCCCTGGGGCAGCCACTAGGCCCTCACCATTCTGGCAGAGTGCCTTTTACAGCTTGCTTCCTAGCAAGCAAGCGGTGGCTGCCTGGGTCTAGCTGCCATTTCCAACGAGTACTGTGGGAAATATGAATGGTGACTGGACCCAACTGTCCAAATAAGCCCACCGTGACCGGGATCCGCGGGTGGACGCGGGATCCACCGCCAGCGGGCGCTTTGGAATGAGGTCCTCAAACCTCCAGTCGGCTCTGGAACAGGATTTCTATTATGCAGCTTCTTAAAATCATCGGAGACGCCTTTTGTGTGCGGCTGCTGTTTTGTTTTCAGACTGCCGCTGCTGGAAAGGATTGTCGTAGGAAGTACTGGAAGAGTATCTCTCTCTCTTTTTTTTTCTTGCTCTCTGGACAGATCTGCCCCGCCCTTTCCAGCTGTTGCGAAGGCGGAGAGAGAAAGAGAAGAGTTTGGAGCCTCTTTCCGGAACAGCCCCCAGTAGGGTAAGGCGAGCGCGCAAAGCTGCGCCACGCTCGGCTTTTTCGACGCCTGCCCATACTCAGGACTGCGTGGAAACAAACGCGCGCGTGGAAGCTGCAAACTCGCCGCTTGTTCGGCGGGCAAACCCGCTCTGCTCCGGAGAGGGAAAACAATCTCTGAACTTATCTTCGCCTAAACCAGCTGCGGTTTGTTTACAAGGAAAACCTCTTGGGGGAAAATGAACCCTCCTCCTTGGCATCCTATTCTCCCACAGGACTAGAAACTTAGGGATGGCCGCGATGGAGGAAAACGCAAGCAGGGAATCCGCTCATTTTCGTCGCTGTTTCCGATCCCACCCGCCCTTCATTAACCTGTCAATAATAATAATACGCCACTGTTTTCTACCGATGTCCGACTAATAGCTGATCCACGCAGCGGCAGCAGGAAGGAACTCTCGGGGAGTGGGCTGCCTGTCTCCCAGTTTCCTTCCACGTGTTGCATTAGGGCAATCGGAAGCCACCTTTGGCGCGCCCAGCCAACCGCCCTTTTGCGGGCGTGTTTTGCAACAAGCTCTTTGCCCCGCCAGCGAAGTATTTCGGATTCTTCGGAAGCTCAGATTGCAAAAAAAGAAGAAAAAGGGAAGAGTTTTTAACGCGCGCGCACAGCACGTACTAAGGCGCTCCTCCGTGGCGTTGGTTGGGCCGTCGTCGGATCCCCGCCTCTGCCTCAAGTAGTGTCCCCAAAGCGAAAAGGGGCCGGTTGGCTCGAGGGCAAGTCTCCGGGCGCGATCCCGCGCTGGTGGACACGCAGGGAGGCAAGTGGAAGCGAGGAGGAGCCGGAGGAGGAGGGCGGAGACCTCCCCCTTTCCCGGGCCAAGAGCGCAGAGGAGGCGCCGGGCCGCTTTACGCGCAGCTCCGAGGGGAGCGCGCCTGGCCGAAAGCGACGCCGCCTAGCCCTGCGATGGCGGGTTCCCGTCCTCTCCACTGAATCGGCGCGCCTGGGAGGACGGAGGCGGTCCGCTCCCGTCCAGTCCCCGGCCGGCGGAGGGGTTATGCGCCTCGGGCAGCGGCGGGATGGCCTCGGCCGTGTTTGAGGGCACCTCTCTGGTGAACATGTTCGTGCGCGGCTGCTGGGTCAACGGCATCCGGAGGCTCATCATCAACCGGCGAGGCGACGAGGAGGAGTTCTTCGAGATCCGCACCGAATGGTCGGACAGGAACGTGCTCTACTTGCACCGCAGCTACTCTGATCTGGGCCGCCTCTTCAAGCGCCTGCTCGACTCCTTCCCCGAGGATCGCCCCGAGCTGTCACAGTCCCCCTTGCTCCAAGGTTGGCACGGGTTTCCCCGCTCTCCCTCTCCCCCCCTTCTATCTCTCGCCCTCGTTTCGCTTTACGCTCCTTGCCGCGTCTCCGTTAACTCGGAAGGGAGTTGAGCGAAAATCAGAGCGGAGCTTCCTTCCTCGGAATTGGGGAGACTTGGGGAGGGTCCTCTTCCTTTCGTTCCCCTTTCAATCCTTTGCTGGTGGGTTTCACTACGAGCATGTACAGAGTGCCTTTCTAGCTGCAGGGCAGGATTACAGCCAGGACTACGCCCTAGGTCCCGAGTTCGATTTTCCAGCAGGAACATAGGAAGGGGAATAAGGAAGAGTGGGATGGGTGGGAATCCAATAGCCAGACTTAATCGGAGGCGAGGGTCCTCAGGGCTTGGCTGCAAGGACTGCTTCGACTCCAATACTTAAGTCCTGGGATGTATGGAATGCTTTGTACAGAGTGCCTCTGAGCATGTGCAAAAGTAACTGCTGATCATGAAATAAAAAAATTCCTTCCAGTAGCACCTTAGAGACCAACTAAGTTAGTTATTGGTATCTCGTGTGCATGCACACTTCGTAACTGCTGATAATGACGGTGTGAACCCAGATTGCGTACTGTCTTTGGCCCTTTAATCCTGTGGACTCTCATCATGCGTATAACACTAGGGGTGCGATTGCTGGAATTAACTCCTAAAACTGCTGTAGCTCTGATCGCTGCTGTATGAGGAACTGCATTTATCTGGACCTGTCTGCTCTGCTGGCACTTTGGCATGCTTTTAGATGACACTCGTGCCGAATAAGAGGCAGACGAGGACACTGATTGGTAATTTTGTGCAGGAGTTTAGTGAGCAAACCCTCCCCCCACCATGTCAATCACCCACCTTGATTGCTGATAGCCTTTTCGACTCTCAGTGCTGATCTCTGGCCCTGTGTACGCTTGTGAGTGTTGGGTTGTGCTGATTCAGCAAATGGCATCAAATGTGTGCAAACAGTCTTTGGACATGCTGATGAGTGAGTCAGGTACTAGCCTGAGATGAAGGTATCTTGCCCAGTAATCTGTGGCATAGGCAGGAGGCTAATTTGTAGAGCATCCTATATCTTGGGAAGTGTAGGAGGGCTGATTGGTCCACTCTAGTCTAGTCTTTCAGATTTCTAAACCTTCCGGTCTTAAAAGACTCCAGGCAGGTGATTGGCTTGGCACCAATATTAAAAAGTATAGGTAGCATAGCAACCTAAGAAATGCCCCATTTCCACTCAGCATATCTTAGTTATCTCAGGTGGCCTAGTCTCAGAGTGGGGTGTGAATGATGTGGTACAGTGCCTGGAAAAATCTCTCTCCGTTTTTGATAGGCAGGTGGCTTGTGCCTAGGGATGGCAGTTCATCAGTACAGACGTTAGTATTGTAGATTGATCTCCAGAACTATGGAGCATTGGCCCTTCACGTTCTGCGCTGAATGACTCTTCCAAATAATCAGGAAGGAACAGCCCCACAGGAAGTTGTGAGGCAGTTTTGACAAGTGACAATTATACAGAGTTATGCATTTCCTGACTGCAATTCAGAAGTAATAACTATGTTGGCAAGTTTTACATTTGGTTTTGAAATGGCTCTCTCCTGCGTTCTGTTCTACTTCCTTGCAAATGTGTGGTAAATAATGGACAACAAACCCACCCACCCACCCCTGATTTTGGATTGGATCCGATGCTATTCCTACCCAGAGTTGATCCACTGAATTTAATGAACATTAAACTTAGGTCCATGAATCTCAGTAGGTCTACTCTGAGTAAAACTATCATACAGCTCAGTTAGTAGCGCATGAGACTCTTAATCTCAGGACTGTGGATTTGAGCCCCACTTTGGGTAAAAGATTCCTTCATTGCAGGGGGTTGGACGAGATGATCCTTGTGGTCACTTCCAACTCTATAATTCTATGATCTATGAACTAAGAACCCTTCTTTTTAATTGTACATTCATAATTTCTGCTCAGGGACGTGGGTGGCGCTGTGAGTTAAACCACAGAGCCTAGGGCTTCCCGATCAGAAGGTCGGTGGTTCGAATCCCCATGACGGGGTGAGCTCCCATTGCTCGGTCCCTGCTCCTGCCAACCTAGCAGTTCGAAAGCAAGCCAAAGTGAAAGTAGTTAAATAGGTACCGCTCAGGCGGGAAGGTAAATGGCGTTTCCGTGCGCTGCTCTGGTTCGCCAGAAGCGGCTTAGTCATGCTGGCCACATGACCCAGAAGCTGTACGCCGGCTCCCTTGGCCAATAAAGCGAGATGAGCGCTGCAACCCCAGAGTCGGTCACGACTGGACCTAATGGTCAGGGGTCCCTTTACCTTACTAATTTCTGTTCATGATTGTATTAGGACGGTTATATGGAGTCAGTGTCGTTTGTGCCTGCAAAAGTTCTGGTGTGGACATACTGCTTCTTTTCCAAATGTTCCATGTCTTGTAGTTTCCTGCTGAAATCTCATAACTTCATTATATCACAAATGTTCCGGGGTGGGAGGGGAGGGCAGTTTGGCACTGCTTTTGCTGTGCTAGTGTGCAAGAGTGCCCCTTCAGATGGCAGTCACGCAGCAAAGTTGGGGATGAATCTCAGGACATCTACCGTATTTTTCGTTCTATAGAGCGCACCGGCCCATAGGACGCACCTCGTTTTTTTGGGGGGGGGAATGAATAAAAAAAATTATTTCCCCCCCCCCCCCCCGCGGCTGCCGCCCCAAGCCTTGCGTGCTTCGGGCGACAGGCTGCCGCCCCAAGCCTCGCGCGCTCGGCGGGACCTCCTGCCGGGCGCGCAAGGCTTGCAGACACTCGCCCGAAGCACGGGGAGCCCTCCGGAGGGCTCCCCGTGCGGCGGGCGACCCGCTGCCGCCCCGCGCCTCGCGCGCGCGGCGGGACCTCCTGCCTGGCGCGCAAGGCTTGCAGACACTCGCCCGAGCACGGGGAGCCCTCCGGAGGGCTCCCCGTGCTTCGGGCGACAGGCGGCCGCCCCACGCCTCGCGCGCTCGGCGGTACCTCCTCCCGGGCGCGCAAGGCTGGCAGACACTCGCCCGAAGCACGGGAGCCCTCCGGAGGGCTCCCGTGCTCGGGCGACAAGCTGCCGCCCGAAGCCTCGCGCGCTCGGCGGGACCTCCTGCCTGGCGCGCAAGGCTTGCAGACACTCGCCGAGCACGGGAGCCTCCGGAGGGCTCCCGTGCTCGGCGACAGGCTGCCGCCCTAAGCCTCGCGCGCTCGGCGGGACCTCCTGCCGGGCGCAAGGCTTGCAGACACTCGCCGGGGCTGCAGGCTGCTGCCTGCAAGCCTTGTGAGCCCGCGGAACTCCCACCGGGCTTGCAAAGCTTGCGGATAGTTTCTGAAGCCTGGAGAGCGAGAGGGTCGGTGCGCACCGATGCCTCTCGCCTCCAGGCTTCAGCAGTCTGCATTCGCTCCATAGGACGCACACACATTTCCCCTTCATTTTTGGAGGGGAAAAAGTGCGTCCTATGGAGCGAAAAATACGGTAATAAAGCGGAATGATTTGTGAATGGGCTAGTTTAAATCTAATGCACAATTATTGTGTCCACGACACGTTGCAGAACACACCTTCAAAACAAAACAAAAACAAAGCCAGTCAGGAGGGTCACTGTATCTGAGAGTCTAGCACAGCACTTTTAATTTGATGCCCTGTGTGGGCTTTCAACAAATTGCAGTATTTACAAACAAATAATAATAAAAATATAAATATAAATATAAATAATGCATTTTTCATAAATGCAAAGATGATTGATCAGCACTTCCAATCCATAAGCCACTTTTATCCTTGCAACAAGTCTGTGAGGTGTCACTGTTGTGACACAGCACCTTGATCCTCTGCTAATGACATCCCAAGTGCAACAGGGTTGCAATGTAAACTAAGGTTGCTTACAGCAGCTTCATTAATTGTGTTGCGGACTCTTTAAAGTGAAGGACAAAAGAAAACGAAGGAGAAAGGCAGGCTTAGGACTTAAGTGTGTGAATTATGGTATTAGCCATTTTTGCCCAATATAACTGATGGCATATGCATGTAATTACCATATTTTTCGTCCTATAGGGCGCACCGGCCCATAGGACGCACCTCATTTTTTTGGGGGGGGGGAAATAAATAAAAAAAAAATTATTCCCCCCCCCACCGCGGCTGCCGCCCCAAGCCTTGCGCACACCTGCCCGAAGCACGGGGCACCCTCCGGAGGGCTCCCCGTGCTTCGGGCGACAGGCTGCCGCCCCAAGCCTCGCACACTCGACGGGACCTCCTGCCAGGGGCGCAAGGCTTGCGGACACTCGCCTGAAGCACGGGGAGACCTCCGGAGGGCTCCCCATGCTTCGGGGGACAGGCTGCTGCCCCAAGCCTTGCGCGCTCGGCGGGACCTCCTGCCGGGCGTGCAAGGCTTGTGGACACTCGCCGGGGCTGCAGGCTGCTGCCCGCAAGCCTTGTGAGCCCGCGGTAACTCCCACCGGGCTTGCAAGGCTTGTGGATAGCTTCCTGAAGCCTGGAGAGCGAGAGGGGTCGGTGCGCACGGATGCCTGCATTCGCCCCATAGGACGCACACACATTTCCCCTTCATTTTTGGAGGGGAAAAAGTGCGTCCTATGGGGCGAAAAATACGGTACTATCCATAATGAAGTACACCTCCCCCCCACCCCAGTACAGTAGAAAATGTGGTTTTACGGCAATCTTATAGCCAATCTATGCGCATAATGAAAAGCACATAATAAACACTTACTGGAATTGTACCACTTTAGAATGCAAGTGAGCAGAGCATCATAATAATAATAATAATAATAATAATAATTGTTTGCGCTCACCACGTTAAACAGCAGCAACTGAGTATGCAAAAAATTGGCACGCATGAAAAATGACACTAGATTAGATTCCCTTTTGCTGACATTCTCACTTTTTATGCACTGGAAGTTTGGGATGTAGAAAAGGACTCCCATGTGTTTTATGGAATTCACTCCCACTGCAAGGTTTCCTAGGCATGTGGGTTGTCTTTTTAGCATTGCTTTCTGTGATAAATAGCTGCTTGCCCGTAACAGCAAACTCAGTAGTCCAAGGAGAATGTTTTGCTTTAGGTGTTTTTTAAAAAATTACTATTCTTGGCAATTGTTTTAGGGGAGTCAAAAAGCATAGCTGTGCCTTACATCTCAGTTTACGGCTGTGCGTGCAAACCATACATTTAAAATACATTTTAAGCACATGTACCTCCCAAGAACCTGGGAGCTGTAGCTTATTAATGGTGCCGGGAATTGTAGCTCTGTGAAGTTCTACTCTAAAACGGTAGTGTGGTGCAGTGGTTAGAGTGTTGGACTAGGACCCAGTTGACCAGGGTTCAAATCCCCCCTGCCTTCAACCATGAAGCTCGCTGGGTGACCTTGTGCCTCTCAGTCTAACCCATGGGTAGGCAAACTAAGGCCCGGGGACTGGATCAGGCCCAATCTCCTGCTAAATCCGGCCCGCGGACAGTCCAGGAATCACCGTGTTTATACTTGAGTAGAATGTGTCCTTTTATTTAAAATGCATCTCTGGGTTACTTCTGGGGCCTGACTGGTGTTTTTTCATGAGTAGAATGTGTGCTTTTATTTAAACTTCATCTCTGGGATATTTGTGTGCCCTGCCTGGTGTTTTTACATGAGTAGAATGTGTGCTCAATAACAATGTGGGTTATTGTGGGATATAGGAATTCGTTCATCCCCCCCAAATATATCCAGCCCCCCCACAAGGTCTGAGGGACAGTGGACTGGCCCCCTGCTGAAAAATTTTGCTGACCTCTGGTCTAGCCTACCTCACAGGGGTGTTGTGGGAAGGGGAGAAGCATGAATTCCTTGGAGAAAAAGGTGGGGTAAAAATGAAATAAATAAAAAGTTTTTCAGGAGAAGCAACAAGGGTCAGCTGGGGTGGGAAAATGCCGCAAAGTGAATGGGATTGGGTGTCCCCCGTGTGACACTGCACCAAGCCATATATATTATATATGCATGTGCCAGCTGGATGTCAAGAAGAAATGCTACAAAGTCACGTGGAAACACTGGGCAGGCAGAAGGGGATCTGTTGTCATCGCTTGGCTCTGATTGCTGGGAAACTGAACTGGGCAATCAAACTCTATGTACACAGGCTGCACCTAGACACTGCAGGAGATTCTGAGTACAATTGCAGGCAGGCAAGGGAAAGAGAGGCACAGAGAAGAGCTGCCTCTACTTCACCAAACTGCAAAACAGGGACTGATCTATTTGGACAGAGGAACTCAGAGTCTGCTGAAGGATTTACTGGATGCTGCAACTAGACTGGCAAAAGAAAAGAAACTGGCAGTCTCACCCTGTGCTATGTGTCACCAACTTTTAGAGAATTTTATATTTGTAGTCATAATAATAATAATAATATTGATAATTTATTATTTATACCCTGTCCATCTGGCTGGGTTCTCCCAGCCACTCTGGGCGGCTTCCAACAGAATATTAAAATACAGTAATCCATCAGACATTAAAAGCTTCCCTAAACAGGGCTGCCTTCAGATGTCTTCTAAAAGTCTGGTAGTTATTGTTCTCTTTAACATCTGGTGGGAGGGCGCTCCACAGGGCGGGTGCCACTACTGAGAAGGCCCTCTGCCTGGTTCCCTGTAACTTGGCTTCTCGCAGTTAGGGAACTGCCAGAAGGCCCTTGGCACTGGACCTCAGTGTCCGGGTGGAACGATGGGGGTGGAGACGCTCCTTGAGGTATACAGTGGTACCTCGGGTTACAGATGCTTCAGGTTACATACGCTTCAGGTTACAGACTCCGCTAACCCAGAAATAGTACCTCGGGTTAAGAACTTTGCTTCAGGATGAGAACAGAAATCGCGCTGCGGCAGCAGGAGGCCCCATTAGCTAAAGTGGTGCTTCAGGTTAAGAACAGTTTCAGGTTAAGAACGGACCTCTGGAACGAATTATGTACGTAACCAGAGGTATCACTTTACTCTACTGATATTTATGATGGCCATAAATATCCCATAAGCAGTGTTTTAAATTGGCCGGGCGCATTTTGCATCTGTCTTTCGACCGCTTGCGACCAAGTGAAGATGCCTCAGTGCCAGGGTGGCGTCTGACATCTCCACCATCTGGAGGTGTGTGTCTGGGGATCATTGGATCTGGACTGTTTCCACACACTAATACCCCACCCTTAGAATCCTGTCCGTTATATTTTATATGCACAGTCAGAATGAATTTTTGGAACCAACATGCTTTTTCTGAGCAGCCTGAGCAGGAGCAGTTATCCTTAAGAGAAAGAGGTTGGAATCGGCCAGTATGTATGTGGACTGTCCCTGGATCATGGGACTCTTCTTCTTTAAGTTCTCAAAGCTAGCTCAAGGTTGCCATCTGAACTAGTTCAATTGAGACTCAATCACAGTCAGTCCAGCATTCAAAAAAGAAGACTTTAGAGCCGCCTTGCCCCAAAAGGGCAACTAGGCATTCTGTTTTGGTGACCGCAGCCTTGGTTTAAGGAGCCATTTGGCACCTAGCTTATATATCTGAGTTCCTAACACGGGTGGCGCTGTGAGTTAAACCACAGAGCCTAGGGCTTCCCGATCAGAAGGTCAGCGGTTCGAATCCCCATGACAGGGTGAGCTCCCATTGCTCGGTCCCTGCTCCTGCCAACCTAGCAGTTCAAAAGCACGTCAAAGTGCAAGTAGATAAATAGGTGGGAAGGTAAACGGCATTTCCGTGCACTGCTCTGGTTTGCCAGAAGTGGTTTAGTCATGCTGGCCACATGACCCGGAAGCTGTACGCCAGTTCCCTCGGCCAATAAAGCGAGATGAGCGCCGCAACCCCGGAGTCGTCCACGACTGGACCTAATGGTCAGGGGTCCCTTTACCCTTTACCTTTAACACTGCCCATAAGCCTCTAGCAAAGCCTGCTGGGCAGCACTGATTTGAGGCCAAGCTACAGATTTTTAGACACTTACCTGGAAACAATCCTGAGATGGCTTTACGCTCACATTCTAGGCCAGAGATGGGGCACTTGTGCCCTTCCAGGTGTTGCTGGACTCCAGCTCCCATCAGCCGCAGTTAACATGGCCATTGGTTGGGGATTGATTAAATTCCATCATAACTCACAAGCATATGATCCCAGGCAGCCCGCGATCGCTCTCAGCTCCCCATGTTCCTGGAAGTCACCTTGCGCCGAGGCCACTGGGTGCAGCAAAGAGCCTTGTGCCTTGAATAATCAATATAGAGAAATCAAGGGGTGTACATGGATGTATGAAGTGGCTGGCCCGGGTCACCCAGCCATAGGTGGCTGACCAGCCTGCTGAGAAATTCTTCAGCCAGCCTTTCTGTTCCTTTTCAGCTCATGGGCCACAGAAGCTGTGGCATGCTCTGTCAGCGCCAGGCTGTATTGCCTTCAGCTAACTTCCCCATCTTTCCCTAGGTCTTTAAACTATCCAAGTTTCTTCACTCTCTGCCTCTAATGGAATCCTCCCCTAACCACCACTACTGCTCCCACCTCCTCAAGTATTTGGACTATTTAATTCTGCTCTGCTTCTGCCACTTCAGTCTTCACTGCATTGTTTTTGGGCTGTTGTTTCCTTTTGTGATCTTGGAAATGTGAAGTTGTTTCCACATTGGTTTGTGCTTTGCTGGCAGCGGGAGGGAGGAATTTGGCTGAGACTCACTGTCCTGAAGCGCCCCCTGCAGACAGCTCTGGAGCACTGCTGCTGAAACCTGGAGACGAACCCAATCGGGTTTGTTTTTCTAAAATACTTTGCAAGCATTCTTGCTGTTCTGCCATTTGCACATCAGATTGTGGGTGTGTATTTGGTCTCCTTGGGGGGGGGGAGTCTTATTTGCTAGCTTCCCAGTGAATTGCATGTGACCTCATACCATGTACTACCATCGAATAGTGCCGTAGGTCTATTCATTTTGTGTTTAAAGGCCCCAGATTCAATCTCCAGGTACAGCTCAGAAAATATTCCTGTCTGATATACCCAAGACAGCTGCTGCTAGTAAGTATGGATCTATGTTTCTAACGTGAGGCACAGAGAACAGACGAAGTGCCCGTTTATTTTGGGATTCCTGTTGATAAGGCGAAATGAAGGTGTCAGGAGTTACAGCAAACTTTAAAGAATACCATCCATTTGCATAGCCCTTTGCTAGTAGCAATTTGTTCAATAAAGTATGCACAAAAAGCTATCTATTCCTTGGGTTTATATAGCTTGTTTTATATCCTCTCTCAAATGTTAATGAAAATTTGCAGGGCAAGAAGTTGTATGGCTAACAGGCAAACATTCCAATCCTTATGGATTCACTTACAGCAAATGAATACGTTTGATATCTTTCCACATGGTCACCACCCAAAACTTCACTAACACTGTGATACTGTGTACACAATATCTCTTGTTAATATCTTTTAGTGGGCTAATTTATTGTACACTGCTTTTTCTTTTCTTTTCTTTTCTGCCTGGGAACATAAAACCTCTTGGGTGACTTTTACCTCCTGAGACTGACCCAGATGTATATCACTATTTAATATATGTGATTCAAACATGGTTATTATATACAGGGTGTTTCATGTTTCTTTCTTTCTTTGGCTTGATCCTCAGCAATTGTTCACTTACAAAGATTTTGCATTTGGACAAAGGGCCCTTGGATAAAAAGAATTATTGGAGGCGCACTATTATTGTGAACTAGCAAAATGCTGCCCATTATTCTCAGTGGAAGAATCCAGAAATTCATTCCGAGTGTGCAGATAAATTATAACTGATAGACATCTACAGGATGGGGTATTAGTGTGTGGAAATAGTCCAGATCCAATGACCCCCAGATGGTGGAGATATCAGGCGCCATCCTGGCACCCAGGCAGCTTCACTTGGTCCCCAGTGGTTGATATCCAGGTGCAAAATGCTCCTGGCTAATTTCGAACACTGGGAATGGAGCAATGTTAGGCAGACCACTTAAAGAGAGCTGGTGGGTTGCACAACTTGGTAGGAATCAAATCATGCAGGCCTTTTTAAAGAAGTTCTTTGTTTTCTATAGCAGCCTTATTTTGTTCAGTATTACATTTATATCCCACCTGTCCTCTGAGGACCTCAAGGTGACGTACATTGTTCTCTTCCTCAACAACCACTTTGTGAGGTACATTGGGCTGAGACTTTCAACCATACAGTGGAACCTTGGTTTTCGAACGTAATCCATTCCGGAAGACCATTCGACTTCCGAAATGTTCAAAAACTGAAAACTCAATACAGAAGCCTCAATACAATAGGGAAATTCAAAACGGAAGCTGTGTGGCATGTTCGGCTTCTGAAAAGCGTTCAAAAACCAAAGCAGTTACTTCTGGGTTTTTGTCATTCAAAAGCCAAAACGTTCGACTTCCGAGATGCTTGAAAACCGAGGTTCCACTGTATTAGTAAAATATAGTGCGTTATAACACTGTGACACCAGATGGTGCTGTAGAACACTATGAATTTTTCCATTGTGAGGTTTAAATGGAGTTTTTCAGAGATTTTTTTAATATAGTAGTAGTAGTAGTAATAGTAGTAGTAATAATAATAATAAGTTGTTTTATTTATACCCCACCCTCCCCCGCCAAGTATAAAACACCAAGTATAAAAACAATTGATTAAAATACAACATAAAAACAAGATTAAAATACAACATTAAAATGCAGCCTCATTTCAGTAGAAACTCAAATAAAAAACTTTTTTGGGATGAAAACATAAAATCTTCACCAAGGCTGTGTAGATGCAGCCAGAGATTGTGAATGGCCCAGGGCTGAGCAGGGATTTCAACCCTGGTTTCCAAACTAGTTGGTTCAAAACAGGATGTTTAGATAGTATTAAATAAGTTGTGGTGTTTGGACTCTAAGGCACATTTGGATCAGATTTTCCTCTTCAAAGAATTCTGGGCACTCTAATTTGTTAAGGGTTGCTGGGAGTTTTAGCTCTGTGAGTGGTAAACTGTATTGTCCAGAATTATTTGAGGGACAGGGTGTGTTTTGAATGTGCTTTAAAGGTATAGTGTCTACGCAGCCTAGGTGCTCAAAAGTACAACTCCACTACCCTGGAATTTGAATTGTGACTTTTTGCCACAGCAGTTAAGGAGTCAACACTACAGAGTACTACAGTGTTTTCCTGGATAGCTGAAGTTAGGGCTGCCATACGTCCAGATTTTCCCGGACATTACCTGGATTTCAAAGGTGGAATTGACAGCCGAGGGGAATTTCTGAAAGGTGGTCCTGGAACTTAGACAAGTCAATCAAAACATCATTTTTTGGGCTCAACAATTTTGGGCTCTTCCATAGTGGTGAAGAGCATTTGTACATATGCATTAGGCATGTACGCTGGTCTACAGGTTTCTCCTTGTTTCCTGGCAGTCTGTAACTTTCTTGAAGCAAACCAAGCGTATCCAAAGGCAGCGGCTGCAGTTGCTATGCTGTGGCAGTAAAGATACTTTCGCAATTGATGCCCCGCATCAGTTGTAGCACATTTTATTGTCGGCAGTGTCAACAGTGCATTAACGGAGCCTGCTCGGAATCTTTGTCTGGCAAACAAAGGCTCTGACTCTTTAATTATCTAGCTGAAAGTAAGTTTTTGGCTGCCTCGTTCTCCTTTGCAAGGAGCTGTTGTTTTTAATATGGCATGGGCTGTACACTCTGGCAGGGCAGCTTGCCGAAAAAGGAGCCAGTTTGTATTTTTTGTTATGAATTGCTTGCTTTTAAGTGCCCTGGTAAAAAGATCTTAATGATGTGCTGCCAATCATTTTGAATTTACAGTGGTACCTTGGGTTAAGAACTTAATTCGTACCGGAGGTCCGTTCCTAACCTGAAACTGTTCTTAACCTGAGGTATCACTTTAGCTAATGGGGCCTCCCGCTGCCACCGCGCAATTTCTGTTCTCATCCTGAAGCAAAGTTCTTAACCCGAGGTACTATTTCTGGGTTAGCGGAGTCTGTAACCTGAAGTGTCTGTAATCTAAAGCATCTGTAACCCAAGGTACCACTGTACTAGGAACAAGACAATAGTTTTTTTAGCTGATATATGTTGTCACAGGGTTACTTGAATACATTGACTTTGTAACTAAGCCAGGCTTGCGAAACAAAGTCACACAGGTTACTAGTCCTCCTCCTCCTTTTTTAAAAAGCTAGCTGTGTGCCCACTACAGTGGTACCTCGGGTTACAGACGCTTCAGGTTCAGGTTACAGACTCTGCTAACCCAGAAATAGTACCTCAGGTTAAGAACTTTCCTTCAGGATGAGAACAGAAATCGCGCGGCGGCAGCGGGAGGCCCCATTAGCTAAAGTGGCACCTCAGGTTAAGAACGGTTTCAGGTTAAGAACGGACCTCCGGAACAAATTAAGTTCTTAACCCGAGGTACCACTGTATATGCTAGGTTTGAGTTTGCTGAAATGGAAAAAAGAGAGAACAAATATTTAGAAAGCTTCACTGCAGAGTAACCTGGATACAATCTTTACTCATATTACTAGTCTGAGCTAAGCTATAAAATCTACAATATTTGCTGTGATGTGCAGTTTTTTGTGACCTCCTGAATTCTGCTCCAAATTTTGATGAAATTCAACTCCCAAAGATACAGCGGCATCAGGACTTGGCAATCCTAGAGAGAGAGAAGGAAGTTATCTGTCTCCAGAGTGAAATATTCCTCTCCCCTGTCGCATCCAGGGCTCCCCTAGATGACCTGTTTATGGGGCAGTAAATCCAGATTTGTTTGCACAAAGCTTACTTACTGGTTGGACTGTGTCCAATCTTTTTTGAGCATTTGCTCTGATTTGTTCGCAGGGAGGTGATAGGATAGTGAGCATTCATCCTGAACCCATTCTGATTTGTTTGTGTGGTTGGTTATGCACCTTCCTATTAAGCAATTGTTTAGTCCGTCCCTTTCACTGTGTTCCCCCATCACTTTCCTTACTGTAAAAAGTCTGTTGTTGTTTTTTAAAGGGAATTTGTTGCACCAGGGCAACAGAACACTATTATCCACTTTAATGCTGCAAACCTATATTTTCAATATGCACTTGAATCCATCCTGAAAAACACCAACAGTCTAGAGGTGACCTTAGAGCAGTGTTAGAACCTTGGGTATATCAGCTAGGTGCCAAATGCCACCTTAAACCTAGGTTATGGTCGCCACAACTTTTATTCACCAGGGGGTTGGACTAAATGACCCTCAGGGTCCCTTCTATGATTCTGTGAGCTCACATACCGTACTATCCCATGTATAACACGCCCCCCTTGTATAGGACGCACCCTATTTTGGGGGACTCCAAATTAAGAAAATGGCCCAGAGTTGTTGAACTTTTTGGGGAGTAAAGGTAAAGGGACCCCTGACCATTAGGTCCAGTCGTGACCGACTCTGGGGTTGCAGCGCTCATCTCGCTTTATTGGCCGAGGGAGCCAGCGTACAGCTTCCGGATCATGTGGCCAGCATGACTAAGCCACTTCTGGCGTACCAGAGCAGTGCACAGAAATGCGTTTACCTTCCCGTAGCTTATCTACTTGCACTTTGATGTGCTTTCAAACTGCTAGGTTGGCAGGAGCAGGGACTGAGAAATGGGAGCTCACCCTGTCGCGGGGATCCGAACCGCCGACCTTCTGATTGGCAAGTCCTAGGCTCTGTGGTTTAACCCACAGCGCCACTTTTGGGGAGAGGATGGCTCAAAGTTGTGGAGATTTTTGGGGGAGGATGACCCAAAGTTTGAGCTTTTTGGGGGGATGAACCAGAGGATTGACCAGAGTTGTTGAGTTGTTACATCACTAACCCGACGGTTACAATTGCTAGCGTGGTTTGCTAGCAATCACTCACATTTGCAAAATGAGTCTGCCCGATCGCCGACAGCGGAAGGAAATCGCAAGCCCCATTGCTGCAGTGGCTGCAAATCCACAACAGCCCTTGTCACAGCAACCAATCACGCATCCATTTAATGCAGCATCAGCCAATACAAAGCAGCCTTTGACTCAGCCAACAATCACACACCACATCGCCAATGACAATCTGCAGCTTGCGGCTGCAACCAATCATCGGTCACCCCTACCCACTACCCGTGTATAAGAGGAGCAGTGTAGAAGACGCCCCCAGTTTTGGGAGATTATTTTACAGTAAAAGAAACCTCGTCTTATACATGGAAAACTACAGTACATTGCTTGACTGTAGTTTGCTTCTTACAGCAGTTCACTTGTCCCAATATGCAAGAAGCAGAAACATACACAGAGGAAATGGAAATGCATTAACTATGGACTAAGGCAGAGGTCTTTAAACTGTGGTTGCCAACCTGCTGCCCAGAAGTCTCCACGTAGTTGCAATTGGACCTCTCCAAAACCAAATGCGCCTGGCGCCTGGATAGTTTCAAACACTGCATTAGAGATCCCTTCATCCACTTAGGGCAACCATGATTTCCTATGGTTAGGATTGCTCTCTTAGTATATAACTTTGCCCCAGCAAAGAGGAGTTGGAAGGGGACATAGTATGAGATTACAGTTGATGGAGGACGTGTAAATTTAGCACTTCCCTTTCTGTACACTGGACTGTTAACTTGGTGAGAAGTCATCTGACTTTCCAGTGAGTGCAGATAATACAGAAGTGGAGGAATTCTGCCCTCAATCTCCTGCTAGAACAAACTACTGCTGTTTTGAGAATTTGGGTCCAAACACACACCCATAAAATGCAGCAGTTGAGCATCAAACTCCATTTGTGAATATTCATTCCTCATCTCTTGATGGATCCGAATTAGAACTTAAACAAATATTCAGATCCCATTTATATAATGACCAACTGCTACAAATTTCCACTTGTGCATTCCAGTCAGGCAATGTAGAATGCTGTGCTTTATTCAGAATTCATTTCTTTGCTATTCCGTCACTCAAAATTAATTCAGTGAGCTGACACTGTGTCAACATACTCAGTTTCCTCTATGGAAATGACTCTTCCAATTAGAAGAGTTTTGGCACTCACCAAGGAGACAGAAGAAAGCCAGTGAAATTCTGGGTTTATGAAGTCCATGGTTAAATTGGCACGTGACCATTAAAACAATCTTACTGTCTGGACCAATGCTTCCTCCATCAAATTACCCTACCCATCAAGTCTCAGCCTTGACAGAAAATGTCCTAGTGTCTTTGACAGTGATGAGAAGTGGCTGCTATCGAAGTATGCAATTGCTGAGATACTTGGTTTGTAGAAATGCACCCTGAAATGGCTCTTTACAGAACTCCTACTGTGTGCAGTGCTTAAATATAAACATGCATTCACATTGTATATATGGTAGTGAATCTGCAGGCCTTGCCTGTATCCTGCAGCAAGATCTCATGTGTTCCCATGCACAGAATACAAGTATCTACTTTTGTTTTCCAGTTCATAGCAGGATCCTGTAAGGTTCTGTGTGAACAATGTACCTGTTCCATGCATGCAGGATGCCTAGCGCATGCAAAAGATGGTCATTGGATCTGGGCAAAGAGGGCACATCTTACCTGATTTTAACCTTGCCGAAGAGAAGCACAGATATCTCCATGCCTTACCTCTCCCCCGGCAGCAAATCTACCCCCCTTTCAGTTAGCTGTTGCTGGTGCTTGCAGAACATCCCACTATAACAGGGCTGGAGAATCTTGAGTCCATGAACCAGTGCTGACTTGCCAGACTATTTCCCCAAACTCTGCCCACCAGCTGATGGGTGAGAGCTGGGCAGGGTTTTATCCTGTTGGGAACAGGATCACATAGCCTAGGGTTTATTCTTCATCCATCAGCTAATGAGTGACAGTTAAAGATCAGAGTGAGATTGGCACAAGATTGGGGACTTAAAGCAGGGGAGACCTGCAAAGGCTTTTGCAGGTTTCTTTCTTCTTTCCTTCGAAGTTCTTGGTCTCAGGGACTTCAATGGGGAAGAGGGAGGAGACTTGCAAAAGCCTTTCAGATACCCATCTCACTGCAGTCTTAAAAGGAATGTAAGATGAACCCTGGTAGATCACATATAAGGTCCATCTAGTTCAGCAGTCCGTTCTCATGTCATCCGACCAGATACCTATGGGATACCTTCAAGCTGGACCTGTTTGCAACAGTGCTCTCCACTTGTGATGGCCAGCAATTTATATTCAGAGGCATACAGCGGAGGAGGAGCATAGACATTGTGCCTAGTGGCTACTGGTAGCCTTATCCTCCATGAATTTGCCTAATCTTCTTTTAAAGCCATCTTGACCATTCTAAGAATCAGCTGTGGCACCCCTTTCCTAATTTCATTTTGGTCATGTGAATGCTTGATCGCAGCTCAAGACTACAGACTTCACAGCTTTCCAGCTCTCTATATATTTAAGCTAGGCAACAGGGCACGTGAAAAGCAATTGGAAACTCTGTATATGTCTGTACATGTGCACACATGTGTTGGACATGGGTGGCGCTGTGGTCTAAACCACTGAGCCTCTTGGGCTTGCCATTCGGAAGGTTGGCGGTTCGAATCTCTGCAACGGGGTGAGCTCCCGTTGCTCTGTCCCAGCTCCTGCCCACCTAGCAGTTCGAAAGCATGTCAAAGTGCAAGTAGATAAATAGGTACCGCTCTGGTGGGAAGGTAAACGCCGTTTCCGTGCACTGCTCTGGTTCGCCAGAAGTGGCTTAGTCATGCTGGCCACATGACCCGGAAGCTGTACGCTGGCTCCCTCGACCAAAAAAAGGGAGATGAGTGCCGCAACCCCAGAGTTGGTCACAACTAGACCTAATGGTCAGGGGTCCCCTTTACCTTGCAAGTAGGAGACTCTTGAGAGTCCCAGGGACTGCAAGAAGATCAAACCTATCCATTCTTAAGGAAATCAGCCCTGAGTGCTCACTGGAAGGACAGATCCTGAAGCTGAGGCTCCAATACTTTGGCCACCTCATGAGAAGAGAAGACTCCCTGGAAAAGACCCTGATGTTGGGAAAGATGGAGGGCACAAGGAGAAGGGGACTACAGAGGACGAGATAGTTGGACAGTGTTCTTGGAGCTACCAGCATGAGTTTGACCAAACTGTGGGAGGCAGTGGAAGACAGGAGTGCCTGGCGTGCTCTGGTCCATGGGGTCACGAAGAGTCGGACACAACTAAATGACTAAACAACAATAACCTTGCAAGTATATAAATGATCATAGCAAAAATGATATGGGAACCTATATAATCCACAGGGCTCTGTATCATGCAGTTCTCTAAATATGTTGCAGAACTATGGAATTTGGTGGGATTCTGCATTTTCAGAATCTCAACCTTCAAAAGAGCAAGTTTTTTTGCGTTACGGTTCTGGAGATTAGCTTGGAAGTATCTGGGCACCACCTTGTGAAAGCCCAGAAGAGAGACGTGAAGCTGATGTGGTGATTCTCATGATTACGGGATGACTTGGCGCCTCAGGATATTTGACTAAGCGCGATGACATTAAACATAGTTCCTCACACTTCTGAAATTATATGTAACAGAGGAGGCTATGAGGTATGGAAGAAGTTTACAGTTTCAAAGACAGCTGTTAACTGTAATTTCAAATGACAGCTGTAAATGCTGTAATCTTCTTTCAGACAAAATGCCCACAGAGAACAACACAACTCTCTTCTTGCTCTTTCAGCAAGTTTTACCCACGTAACGATGAAGTTGGGTAACATTTCTCATGTTTGACAGTTTGGAGACGGATACTCATATATGTCAAAGCAGTTTTATTCTTTCCTAGCTATCTGACCAAAGGGTGGCTAATTTTAGGTACTTAATATAAGAAGAGCTCTGGGGTTTGTTTGTTTTTTTGCTCACAGGCTTGGAAGATTGTTTCTCTTGGAAGATGGTTTCTACTAGGGAGTAAACTTGGAAACAAATTTCAGCGATTTGCTTATAAAGATGCGCAAGAGGACACTGTAGAATTTTGTAACTGTATGAACGCAACAGCTATCATTTCCCCCCTGAAGTTCATCATTGTTTTGAGAGTCTGGTCTAGGGGGTGAGGACCTTCCATCTCACAGGCCTCATTTGGCCTGTGCGGCCATTTCTACCAAACTCTGTCCACCTGCCAATAGTATGATGTCATTTGATGTCACCAGACAAGAAGGAGTGTTGCAAACAAATACACTTGCCTCTTATTCTTTTCAAGGGGATTTGCTTCACTGCTGCCATCAGCTTCACTGATGGCTATGTGTGTGCACTGTAATCCTAAATAGCTTTACTCAGATGTAAGCCCCTTTTTAGTGATGTATGGAAGTGAGAGCCGGACCATAAAGAAGGCTGATCGCCGAAGCATTGATGCTTTTGAATTATGGTGCTGGAGGAGACTCTTGAGAGTCCCATGGACTGCAAGAAGATCCAACCGATCCATTCTGAAGGAAATTAGCCCTGAGTGCTCACTGGAAGGACAGATCCTGAAGCTGAGGCTCCAATACTTTGGCCACCTCATGAGAAGAGAAGACTCCCTGGAAAAGACCCTGATGTTGGGAAAGATTGAGGGCACAAGGAGAAGGGGACGACAGAGGACGAGATGGTTGGACAGTGTTCTCGAAGCTACCAACATGAGTTTGACCAAACTGCGGGAGGCAGTGGAAGACAGGAGTGCCTGGCGTGCTCTGGTCCATGGAGTCACGAAGAGTCGGACACAACTAAACGACTAAACAACAACAACAAGAAAAGCCCCTTTGAGCTCAGTGAAACTCACTCCCTGATAGATGAGCTCAGGACTGCATTCTTAACTTGATTTGAGCAGTTATTTCCTCTTCCTATAGTGCTTGGGAACTGTAGTTCTGGGGTTGAGAGGAACTCTCAATAGGCAATTCTTTGCATCTCACCCAAATTTCGTCCAGAATTTGGCAAAGTGCAAGTAGGTGGTCATATAAGACATTTGTTCATAGTACTAGCAGGAGTGCCCAGCATCATGGGAGTAGCCAAGGGGAAGCAGGGGCAGCGCCCCCCCAGATCAAGTAAAACAATAGAAATACATAACTAACTGACCAATCACATCGGTTCTGCCCCCACCCAAAAAATCTTGGCTATGCCCATGCAAATGCTGCCTGAGATTTCTTAGAAACCAACAAACATTGTGGTGAAAAATAATAATGAATAGTATAATTTGTGAGTTTGGATCCATCATGTCCAAAATTGGGAGAAGTCATACCAAAGTCACATTTTGGTCTGCCATCTTGATTCAAAATGCCGTGCGGTATCTAAATGAAGACACAGTCTCTCCCACTTCTGGCAACCCTCTTGCTGAGTTTGCGATGATATCTTGAGAGGCACCTGAATGCATAGAGAACAGACAGACAGGCAAGCCATTTTCTAAAATGTATTGTGCATTAAGGGGCTGCAGTGGCTCTGAGCCAAAGTCCGTATAACTGAGTGTCCTCCTCCAATCCAACAACCCATAGTTCACAGCTTGGAGATTATAACAGTCTAGAAGCAGTCAGAATGAGTATACCATGATAGCAGTGCAGGCAGATCAGGGCAAAGATCTAACGAGACACACTTCATTGACCCCACCCAGATATCTGAGCAAGCACGTAACTATGACACAGGCCAACCTGCGGCCCCACCCCTCCAAAACGCTTCCACATTCAGTTAATCTAACCTAAGGGAAAATTCTTTCCAAACATGCCGCTAACATTTGTTAGGACATGCTTGTAGTTGAATTGCAGTTGCTTCTGTTCAATGAACCCTGGAAATTTCTGAGTAGCGGACACATTTTATTTATTTATTTAAAAGCCTTCAGCAGAACTTCCGGAGCTGTTTCCAAAGATAATAGAAATTTCATTTTAAAAAAGCAACAAAACCAAACCCAGACATATTAAAAACCAAAAATATGCCCCCCCCCCAAAAAAAAGATGAGGAAAGAAAAAATGCCTTTGACTGGTGCTGAAAATAGAACAGTGTTGGTACTAGGTGGGCCACTCTGAGGAGGTTCCAAAAATAGGGTGCCACCACTGAAAAGGCTTTTTCTCTTTCCCCCAACAGCCTTACCTCAATGGTCAGAAAGGCTGGAGAAGATGCTGTTAAGGAGCCCTCACTGGAAGGGGCTTTTGCATTCAAAAGGGACCGTTGGGATAGCCTATTCAGCACATGTGCCTTGCGGTCTAGATACAGCTAGGACTGCCGGAATCTTAGGCAAGTCAAACTCAACAACTTTGGGGTTTGTCTAAAGAAAGTGCAACAACAACAACAACAACAACAACTTATTATTTCTACCCCACCCCCTGCCACTCTGGGTAGCTTTCAACAAAACATTAAAAACAGAATAAAATTTCAAACATTAAAAACTTCCCTAAACAGGCCTACCTTCAGATGTCTTCTAAAAGTCAGATAGTTGCTTATTTCCTTGACATCTGATGGGTGCCACCACCGAGAAGGCCCTCTGCCTGGTTCCCTGTAACCTCACTTCTTGCAGTGAGGAAACCGCCAGAAGGCCCTTGGCACTGGACCTCGGTGTCTGGGCTGATCGATGGGGGTGGAGACGCTCCTTCAGGTATACTGGACCTAGGCCATTTAGGGCTTTAAAGGTCAGCACCAACACTTTGAATTGTGCTCGGAAACGTACTGGGAGCCAATGTAGGTCTTTCAAGACTGGTGTTATTTGGTTAGAGGCAGTGAAAAACAACTTTTGGTTTTTACTTTTTGAAATATGGCAACCCTAGATACAGCGCAATTGAGGGTGGTATATTGTGAACTGCACTGTATTTCCCACGTGTGGCTTTTGGAGTGGAAAAGTTAATTTTTAGCACTTACTGGCTCTATTTCATTAATGGAAAAAAGTTTCTATAGGTGGTTTTGAGGTCACCATGTAGGGAATTCTTGAAACTGCACTTGTGCCAGGTGGCAGTCTGATTATAAATAGGCAGCTTTCACTTAGAGACAACTTTGCTGCTTATTAGTGTCTCTAAGTGAAACAGAAATGTGAGTTATAACCTTGGCATATTACCCTCCCCTTCTTTTCCTTCAGGCTCTGTTTACTTGTTCCCTGCACCATCAACTAGACTGCAATTTCCTTGGGGCAGAGATCTGTACTCTTTTCTTGCTCATTTACTTCCTAAACATCTGCATCACTTTTCAGTCAAAAGTTCTCATGCTGGTTTGCATTAAATGCTAAATAAATTTTAGTAAAAAGATGGTTTTGCCAAATGATCTCAGGATGCTTGCATATTATATAGTTGCTTTTCCCTTATGAGGTAATCCTAGGTTATATGTGGCGTTATGCTGCTCTCTGCTGGATGTCTTGGAAATTGCTGTGGAATTGACATTTTCAATCTGTCTCTCCATATAGCAGTGCTTGGATGCATTGCACATGCGATTGTCACAGCACTTCCTAAAATTTATTTTGCGTTTTGATTCCTGAGCTTCTCCTCTGCCTTTAAGATCGACATCAAGCCAGCTTTGCTTTTAATTAAATACAATAAATGCATACCAGATCATAAGACAAGATACATAATTAGATAATAGGAACAGATACCTTTTTTAAAGACCATTTCTCAGCATCACACACTAAAGTGATGAAGAGACAGAACTCAGGACAGACTATGGAGATAGAATCAGGCTTGACTCTCAACGATTTGATATTACATGGCTGGGACAACAAGAGTAGAGAACAGGCTTAAACCTATCCCAGTATCATCCCTGGGACTCTCTCTCATTTTCATATTAATGAGTGGTGTTCATTCATTCCTATGGCTTAAAATAAAACACATTCAGAGGTACTGTGACCTTCACACAGATGCCTCTCCCTTATGGTAGATGTATTGCCAGTTCATGGTAACATAAACCAGTAATTAAAACATACACACGGAAACACACACATTTAAAAGAAGGCAATAACAATCTGATATATGCTCAGTGAAATTGGTTAACACTAAGTCTTAATTTATGGGACACAGGTGGTGCTGTGGGTTAAACCATAGAGCCTAGGACTTGCCGATCAGAAGGTCGGTAGTTCGAATCCCCGCAACGAGGTAAGCTCCCGTTGCTCGGTCCCTGCTCCTGCCAACCTAGCAGTTCGAAAGGACGTCAAAGTGCAAGCAGATAAATAGGTACCGCTCTTGCAGGAAGGTAAATGGCGTTTCCGTGCGCTGCTCTGGTTCGCCAGAAGCGGCTTAGTCATGCTGGCCACATGACCTGGAAGCTGTACACCGGCTCCCTCAGCCAATAAAGCGAGATGAGCGCCGCAACCCCAGAGTCGGCCACGACTGGACCTAATGGTTAGGGGTCCCTTTACCTTTAGCCTTTTAAGTCTTAATTTGCCTCTAGAAGTTCCAGAACAATTGGCATTGATGAGTTTCCATGGAGGCGGCTGTTCCCTAGAGTCAGAGTTGTGACCCAGGATGGAAACATGGGGCAGGGAAATCTTAAAGGTCAACCAGGGGTCGGGAGCAGCTGTGGCTCAGTGGTAGAGCCTTGTGTGAAACAGGTCCCTACCTCAATCCCAACATCTCGAGGTAGAGTTGCGAATGTCCTCCATCTGAAACCCCACAGAGCCACCACCAATCAGGGTAGACGATGTCTGGCTAGATGGACCAATGGGCTGCCTCAGTGGAAGGTAGCTTCCTATGTTCTTAGCATCAGTGTGTGCCACGTCTAGGAAATAAGAGGAGGCCTTCTCAGTGGTGACCTTGCAGTTGTGGAACTGTATGGACACTCTACAAAGCTAAAATTTAGATTAATTTTAGAAACCCTTTACACCTGAGGTCTTTGAACCTCCCTTGTGCTGCTTTCTGAGTGTTCTGCCAATGATAGATGGAGCATCCATAATGCAATCCAGATTGCCGTAAGACCTAATATATATCTTTTTAGACTCTCATTTGATAGTGATGTATGGTGGGCAGGCTTAGATCTAGCAAAGGTCTGAGGAATATGCATCATAGCCTTCTAATAAAATCAGCTGTCTAATTGATTTTTCACCATGTTGAAGTCCTCAGGCTAGGATAGGTTCAGCATTAAATGCATACCTGAATGCATATAACTGAAGAAAATGAAAAGATGGTTCCTCTATACGATGCTGTGTGTTTGGTCTCTCCACACCCCACGTTCCTTACAGATCTTCTTTGTTTCCAGGACTAATCACCATTAAGGAGTCTCACGACATAGAGGCCAGGCTTAATGAAGTAGAGAAGCTCCTTAAGAATATTATAAACATGCCTTGGAAGGTAAGTGGAGCAGATGCGAAGACTTACTGATGAAAAACGGGGCTACCACCTTATAGGTTGTGGTCTTAACAGCTGTGATAAACTAGCTCTGTATTCTCAGCTTCCCCATGGGTCATTTTCCTTGTTTTGGTCTCTGGGCTTCTGATTCTTTCTGCTAAATAAATCCCTCGTTCCATTCAGTTGCATCCATTCTTGGAATTTATGGAAATCCGTAGAAGGAAATAGGCGAATAGCATTTTTCCATGTGAAACTCAATCCGTTGGGCAGCCTGCACTGGGGAAGGGCTGTAGCCTAATGGTAGCGCCATCTGCTTTGCATGCAGAAGGTTCCAGGTTCAATCCCCGGTCTCTCCAGGTAGGGCTGAAACCCTAGAAAACCACTGCCAGCAGATGCAGACCACCGTGAACTTGGTGGACCAGTGGTCTGATTCAGTCCAACACTGAATCAAACAGCCACTGCAATGATTGCCCATTGAAATCACTACCATTGCAATCTGAGAGAGACACTTGGACGTTGCTTGCTTAACGCTAGCGGTTGTTATGTGCGCATACTGTGTGGGAGAGTTGATTCCACCTTTTCGTCACCACTAAGAAATGCAGAAACAAATCCGCCAAGCAAATGCCGAGAAACGTTGTAGATCTACAGCTGACATGGAAGCAGGGCTGTTGTGAGAATGGGGCCGATCTTCCCCTCCCTCTTTGTAAAAGGATTGACCCAACAGGAGTGACAGGATGTATCCAGTGTGGTGCATAGCTCATGGGGGATGTAGGCTGGGTACCATTTATCCTGCCTCCAGTGCTCTCGCCGCAGTAGTGTTGGAAGACGCAAACTCATGACAGTAGCCACAATCCGCATCTATCCTGGAGCTTCTTGGGGAAAACTGCTGTTGGATGTGTTTTCTCTCGAATCAGCTTCCATCCATTTTGAAAACTTTCTAAAGCTGGGAACGGTATGGAGAAAAGTGGATAGCAGAAAGTTTTTCTCCCTCTCTCATGACACCAGAACCCATGGACAACCCATAGGACTGAATTTTGGAAGATCTAGGACAGGCATAGGCAAACTCAGCCCTCCAGATATTTTGGGACTACAACTCCCATCATCCCTGACCACTGGTCCTGTTAGCTAGGGATAATGGGAGTTGTAGTCCCAAAACACCTGGAGGGCCACATTTGCCTATGCCTGATCTAGGACCATGAGACTTGGTCCCATAGGAGGCAGTTAAGGCCACCAACTTGGATTAAAAGTGGATTAGACATGGAGGATAAAGTTACGGATGCCTACCAACCACTGTCAGAGGCAGTAATGCTTCTGAATATCAGTTGCTGGAAACTATGGGGTAAGGGGGGGGGAGAATGTGTGAGGAGAACCTGAGCTTACAGGGTTAAACAGCTCAGACTGTACGCCCTGCCTACAGTTGGGAGGGGGGAGCTACGTCAGTTCCGAGAGACTAAAGTCTTTGTTCTGTCTCTCTACTTTCGCTTTTGAGGAGAGAGGACGTGTTTTCGCGATGCTGTTCGCTGTGATAGATAATGGATAGCCTGCTGTAAATAAAGCTGCTTTTAGCTGCTAATATCCTGAGTGGACTTCATTTAAGCACACTGAAGAATGCACTGGAGTGTTTTGGTTTCCTCTAGCCGCTGACGAACTCTGCTATGCTCAGAAGTATCGGAATGTGCCCTTTGGAATGCAGAGGCCTACGCAATGGGGGAAGCGTGCCGGACGCTTATCTGAGCAATAAATCAAGATATCTCAGAGGTTATGGAGGCAGTAATTGCAATTAGAGGAAGCCTGCTTTGATGTGCTGTGTGCTTAAGAAGGCTGGAAAACTGAGAAGCTGTTGTTTTGCTGCTGGAATGCAAAAGTCCTGCTTTGAGGCTTCGCCTGGGAGAAAAGCAGGCAAGCTGTGTGCTGCAAAGCTGGATGCAAGCTGTGTGCTGCAAGGAGCCACTGGAGGCCTCTCCTTTGAAGCTGGCTGGTACGCGTGAGTACTTCAAAGCCCCAATGGGAGCACTGGGGGAGGAGATGGCTGAGCTCCAGGACTTTTATGATGTCCCGTTTGAAAAGCTCACAACCCAGTCCTGGGATATCTGGGTTAGAAGAGTCAGGGGTGGTTTTTGGCCACAGGGTTCTGGGATATAGCCCAGAAGGAGCCTGCCCCACCCATGCCAGTTGCTGCTGAAGAAGGAGGAGCAGAATGGGAGGCTGCTCTCCTGGAAGATAGAGAGCTGAGAATGCAAAGGGAGCTCTGCATGTTGAGAGCAAGCGTGGACGCTATGCTGTTGCCCCACCTGGAGGGCATTGAGTCGGCTCAGGCCGCCTGGCAGGTGCTGAGGAGTCTGTGTGATAGCTCAGCAGGAGCCCAGGGCCGGGAGAAAGCCGAGAGCAGGCAGGAAGCTGAGAGCCCAGAGGGGGCTACTGGTCATGTTCCTAAAGTTACAGCTGGGAGTAGCTGCTTTGTCTCCGAGGGGCCGTGTGATGTTGAGGCCTACAACCAGAGTGCTGGGGAGCGTGCAGGCCCAGGCTGTGCACCCAAAGGTGGGGGTGCAGGGAACAAAGGAATGGCTGAAGAGGGAGCTGTGAGAGCTGTTGCTACGCGTCGCCGCTGTTATCACTGTGGCTCCCCTCCCATCTGGTGAGAGAATGTCCAGTGGAGGAACAGCCCAAGGCCGTCTCCCGTAGCAACCAGATAAAGAGCTCTTCTTCAAAGCGTGGGAAAGGCAAGCCGAAGGCAGCTGGCAGAGACACTGAACGTAAACATTTGGCTGCCTCTATGGCTGTAGTCAAAAGTTGTCAACAGGATGCTGCGCTGGCTTTTGTGGTAGACTCAGGAGCATCTCATCACCTGGTGCCATCTAGTGGATTCCTGGAGAACTGCACCTCTGTAAAAACTGGGAAGACTGTCTGTTTAGCAGATGGGACTCGACACCCACTCACGCAGAGTGGCTTACTGTTTTGTTCTTTCTTGCAGGACTCAATCCAGGCTTTTGTTGTTCCAGGACTGTCCTGCGCGTTGCTGTCTGTCAGTGCACTTCTTGCTGAGAACTACAGAGTGTGTTTTGAGAACAATAAGTGTTCTATTTCCAAGAATGGACAGCACCTAGTCAGTGTTGAATGCAAAGACAGGTTGTTTGTGATAAATGCTTCTTTTGCAGGTCCAGATGACACGGATGACACGGAGGAGGCTCAAGCGCAGTGTGCCAATGTTCCAGTTCATGATGCGTGTCAACATCTCTGGCACCGACGTATGGCACACGTTTCGTGGGGGTCGGTGAGAAGGATCCCAGAGTATACGCAAGGGTGCAAAATGAAATCATGTGCTAAGTTTCTAGATTGCAGAGCGTGCAAGTCCGCAAAGGTGAAAACGTGCACATACCCTAGGTCTGAGAGGGTGACCACTAGGGCTTTCCAATTAATTCATGCAGATTTGTGTGGACCGTTTTCTGTGAGCAGTTTGGGCGGAGCCAAATATTCGCTGGTTCTGATTGATGACCATACTAGGAATTCTTGGTGTTTTTTGATTCGGCGCAAAGATGAAGCTGCGCCGCTAATCAAAGACTGGATTGCGGCTGTGGAACTGCAGTTTTCCACACGGGTGCAAAACTTTCAGAGCGATCGCGGTGGGGAGTTCACCGGGTCTGCACTGCAAAGTTTCTTCCGCAAAAAGGGATTCAACACAGGTTGACTTCTCCACACAGTCCCCAACAGAATGGGATCGCGGAACGCAGGAACAGGACTCTAGGGGAGATGTCCGCAGCTCTTTGTTTGATGCCGGGCTCCCACAGCGCTTTTGGGGGGAGGCTTGGCGAACGGCCAACTTTGTTCTGAACAGGTCGTTCAATTCAGTGGTAGGTGACACACCGTACTTCTTGCTCCATGGCGAGAAACCGAAAGTGCACTACTTCCGCGTTTTTGGCTGTGAGGCTTGGGTCCTCATACCAAAGGCCAAACGCAAGAAAGGTGAACCCAGGTCCCAAAAGATGATTTTTTGTGGGTATGAGCCAGGGACCAAGGGGTGGAGGTTTGCTTATCCGTCAGGGAATCAGTCCAGGATTCTGCTCAGCAACAGTGCTGAATTCTGTGAGCAGAGTGGCTGGGCAAGGATACACGGAAACCCTGACATCCTGTCAGAGAGTCTGCTAGACTCTGCTGATGAAGGAGAGGAAGAGGTTGAACCTGCTACTGAGGCTCAGAGTCCAGACCCAGTGCAGGCAGAAGGGAGAACTTCTCCCAAGGCTGTGAAGAGTGAGCAACGCAGTGCTCCATCTTCCCCCACAGGTTCGGCTGAGAAGTCCAGAAGGCGCAGTAAGTCAGAGGGGAAGCTCTCTGATGCCAAGGACGTTCTGGCTGGCCCTAGTGGGTCAGAGGGGTTCCTGAAGTAGTGCTGCGCCGTTCAACACGGACGACCAAGGGGAAACCTCCTGAAAGGTTTGCCGTCACTAGTGTGTGGGTCGGAATGGCACAGTGTGAACCCGAGAGTTTTGAGGATGTTCAGAAACTGCCTCAAGAAGAAGCCAGGAAATGGCATGAGGCGATGCAGAAGGAGATGAACTCAATGGAGTCTCTAGGTGTGTTCTCCCTCACGAAGTTGCCGGTGGGTGAAAAGGCAGTGGGTAGTCGCTGGGTTTACCGTCTTAAGCCCACAGCGACAGGAGAACCGCAGTATAAGGCCAGATTAGTGGCGAGAGGATTCACGCAGCAGAGGGGGTTGCATTATACGGAGAGTTATGCGCCCACGTGTAGGAGTGAGTCTCTACGCTTGGTCTTGGCCATCGCTGCACAAAGAGGTTTGCTGGTGCATCACTTTGATGTGGATGTTGCTTACTTGAACTCAGACCTCCAGGAGGATCTGTACATGCTTCCTCCTCCTGGGTTTGAGGGCAATGAGCGAGGTACTGTGTGGAAACTTCACAAGTCAATTTACGGCCTGAAGCAGTCGGCCAGGAATTGGAACTTGTGCCTGAATGAAGCTTTGGAGAAGCTAGGTTTCAGGAAGAGTCTTGCTGACAGTTGCTTGTTCCTTAGAGGATCAGGAGACTCACAAGAACTGGTGTTGTTTTACGTTGATGACATCATCCATGTTGGAAAGGCAGACAAACAGGTGCAGAAGTTTGCCAAAGAGCTTGGGAAACGGTTTCAGCTCAAGGACCTGGGTGCAGTAAAGATCTACCTAGGTGTCCAGATAGCGAGAACTGAGGATGGTAGCTTCTTGCTCAGTCAGAAAGGCAAGATTGAGCAGTTGCTGGAGAAGTTCAGAATGTCCGATTGTGCAGGAGTTCGGACACCCATGGAGACGAACTTCGTGAAAGATAGCCAGCAAGCAGAAAGTGCTGAGTTTGAGAATGCTGAGCTCTTTCAGTCAGCTCTAGGTAGTCTGTTGTATCTGTCCCAATGGAGCAGACCAGACATTGCCTTTGCTACCAACCTGCTAAGTAGGGAAGCGTCAAAGCCCAGTGTGAGTGCTTGGCACGGTATCAAGCGGGTACTGCGCTACCTGCAGCATACCAAAGACTTCTGTCTTAAGCTGCCAGCTGAAGGTGAGGCGAAGCTCACATGCTATGCGGACAGTGACTGGGCGAATCGCAGGACCGCAAGTCTGTGTCTGGGTTGGTGATAAAGTTTGGGAAGTCACTAGTTGGGTGGAAGTCCCGGAAGCAAAGTCTCATTGCGCTGTCTTCTACTGAGGCTGAATTCAGTGCACTGTCAGATTTGTGCCGAGAACTAGAGTTCTATAGATGCTTGGTGCAAGAGATCTATGGGGATTGTAGCTTGCCCATCACGGTTTGGGAAGACAATCAGCCTTGTTTGAAGTTGGCTGAATCTGCGCAATTTAAAGCGAGAACCAAGCATCTGGACATACGTTTCCGAAATGTGTGTCAGAGTGTTCAGTCAGGTTTGATACGACTGAAGTACTGTGCCAGTCACAGTAACCTGGCCGATGGATTTACCAAACCTTTAAGCTTCCAGCGTCATGGGGAGTTTTGTGGTGGTTTGGAGTTGGGGGTAAGTTCTGTACTTACGTTCCCCACAGTAGCGCAGGGCGAGAGGGGGTGTGAGGAGAACCTGAGCTTACAGGGTTAAACAGCTCAGACTGTACGCCCTGCCTACAGTTGGGAGGGGGGAGCTACGTCAGTTCCGAGAGACTAAAGTCTTTGTTCTGTCTCTCTACTTTCGCTTTTGAGGAGAGAGGACGTGTTTTCGCGATGCTGTTCGCTGTGATAGATAATGGATAGCCTGCTGTAAATAAAGCTGCTTTTAGCTGCTAATATCCTGAGTGGAGTTTTTTTTTAAGCACACTGAAGAATGCACTGGAGTGTTTTGGTTTCCTCTAGCCGCTGACGAACTCTGCTATGCTCAGAAGTATCGGAATGTGCCCTTTGGAATGCAGAGGCCTACGCAATGGGGGAAGCGTGCCGGACGCTTATCTGAGCAATAAATCAAGATATCTCAGAGAATGCTTTTGTGTTCATGTTCTGCTCCACGGTGTCCCACAAACATCTAGTTGGGCACTGTGAGAACAGGATGCTAATCTTGATGTACCATTGATGTGACCCAGCAGGTTTTTCTTCTATTCTTCTCTCTAGGGGCAGCAAAGCCCAGAGGGGATCCTGGACCCTTCATCTGTGTGTTGCCTTTGTGGTTAAAACCAGATCCCACTCTTTCACTTCCTATATTATTGGGGCAATTCCATGTTTAATCACACATGGCTGCCATTATTGTGTCTTGTTGACCCTGCTTAGAATGTGCTCCTTCAGTAAATAAAGGCAACCATGAAAATGAATTCTCAGATGAGATTTCCTCCCGTTCCTGAGCTCTTGTAATTATATTTTTCTTTTTTATCCTTTTTCTCCAGTACTCCAGATCAGAAGTCGTCCTCACCTTCTTCGAAAGATCTCCTTTAGATCAGGTGTTAAAAAACGACAATGTCCATAAAATTCAACCAAGCTTTCAAAGTCCAGTTAAAATATCAGGTAAGAGTTATCAACTTGCTTTAGTGACAATAGTTAATATGATTGTTTTACCCATCTTCATCCATATGGTTCAAATGAGAGTCACTTCCACTCTATCCTCCCCCCTTTCCTAAGGCTTCTCAAAGGATTTTACTCCAAAAATGAGAATTACTTCATTGTTTCTCCATGCCTTCTAATTTTCTTTGAAACTGGATGCTACTGGAGACATGGTAATTGACAAGATGATCTGGGCTGCTGTGATAATTCTTAAGTAACCGCTGCAGGAGCTATTATCTAAAGTGGTTAGGGGGTGTAATCTAGTTTTTGTGTGTGCTGATCTTGGATAATACTGTTCAGGACAGTCACACAGGGAGCTGAACACATGTTGGAGTAATAGCAGTTCCTCCCACCACTATAAAATGCTTCCGAATGTTGTTAGATGCTTCCAAGGTCCCTTTCAAAAATAACCAATGTGGCATCCTCCAGACTTTGTTGGACTCCAGATTGCAACAGGCCCAGCCAGCGTGGCAGGAAGGGTGGGAGTTGTAGTCCAACAACATCTGGATGGAACCACATTGCCTACACCAGCTTTCTATAATGGCTGTGTTTGGACATCATACTAAAGACTCCCTGGGGCAGCTCAGTTGACAAAGCATGAGACTCTTCATCACTGGGTCATGGAATTGAGCCCTGCATTGGGCAAAAGATTCCTGCATTACAGGGGGCGTGGATTAGATGACTCTAGTGGTCCTTTCAAACCCTCCAGTTCTCTGATTCTAAAGCACAATGTAAAGCTTTGTTTGATTCAGTCTTATACGTTTTAGCTAACTGAAGCAAAAATCATATAAAGAAGCAATGATTCTTCAACATCAGCTTTGTTGGACTGGTCATGTTGTGCGGATGCCTGATTATCGTCTTCCAAAGCAACTACTCTATTCCAAGCTTAAAAATGGAAAGCGTAATGCTTTCAACAAAAGAGGTTTAAAGCCTCTCTCAAGGCAAATCTAAAAAAAAGGTAGTATAAACACCGACAACTGGGTAGCACTGGCCTGCGAGCGCTCCAGTTGGAGAACATCCTTTACAAAGGTGTCATGGGCTTTGAAGATGCTCAAACTCAGCACAAAAAGGAGGAATGTGCTAAGAGGAAGGCACGCTTGGCAAATCCACACCATGATCAACTCCCGCCCGGAAACCAATGTCCCCACTGTGGAAGGACGTGTGGGTCCAGAATTGGCCTCCACAGTCACTGATGGACTCATTATTAAAACCGTGTTTATGGAAGATAATTTTACTTGGCTACGAGTGATCGCCAAAGAAGAAGAAAAAGCAGGTGGGAGGACTTTGGTAATCTTTCATAATATGGCGCCATTTGTGAGCCCATAATTTGGCACCCCAAATGGATCTTCTCAATCATGTATCTTCTCAGTTTTGCACCCCCTCGGCTCAGCAACCTGTCCAGGAGAACTGCCCTCCATCAGGTGCTGAGTCCTAGTGTGTCAGGGGCTGGCTGGATGAGGAAGAGTGGTGAGAGCCGTCTGTCCAAGAGGGCACAGAAGACAACAACTTAGATCCCGGATCCTGATGGTGGGACACAGAAAAGCAGTCTGCAGAAGAGATGAGCTGGGAGATGCTAGAAGCAGGGGGTTTGAGCGATCCGGAATTGGCCTCCACAGTCAAGAAGAAGAAGAAGAAGAGCTAACTGAATCAAAAAACCATTTAAAGAAGGACTTGGAAAGAGGCAGAGGGGGCAGAGGTCCACTTCAGGCATGAGAGAGGGAGATAGGATCTGTATATTCCCTCTCCTTTCCTTTGAAAGTTGATGTCCCATTCAGAAAGGCTGTGACTCACTGGTGAAGCAATTGTGGTTCGATCTCTGGCATCTTCAGATGGGGGGGCACCCCATCGGAGACCCTTGAGAGCAGCTGTCATTCAGTGTAGACAACACTGAGCTAGACGCACGGATGACTCAGTGTAAGGCAGCTTCCTATGTTCCTAGAATCTTGCAGGGTAGAATTATCCAATGTTTTTGCTAACTGCTAAGGTAGTATTTAACCTTGGAAGAGAAAAGCTGTAGTCTCAAGGATGCAAGAAAAAAAAGCTAATGCTATTCTAGGCTGCATCAACAGAAGTCTAGTGTCATGATCAAGGGAAGCAATAATCCCACTCTATTCTGCCTTGGTCAGACCACCCTTGGAATACTGTGTGCTGTTCTGGGAGGCACAGCTTAAGAAGGATGTTGACAAGCTGCAATATGTGCAGAGGAGGGCAACCAAGATGATCAAGGGTCTGGAAGCCAAGCCTGATGAGGAACGGTTGGGTATGTTTAGCCTGGATAAGAATCATAGAATTGTAGAGTTGAAAGGGGCCACAATGCTCATCTGATCCAACCCCCTACAGTGCAGGAATCTTTTGCCCAATGTGGAGCTCGAACCCACAATCCTGAGATTAAGTGTCTCATGCTCTGTTGACTGGGTGATCCACAGGGAATGAGAGGAGATATGATGTTGTTGTTTAGTTGTTTAGTCGTGTCCGATTCTTCGTGACCCCATGGACCAGAGCACGCCAGGCACTCCTGTCTTCCACTGCCTCCCGCAGTTTGGTCAGACACATGCTGGTAGCTTCGAGAACACTGTCCAACCATCTCATCCTCTGTCATCCCCTTCTCCTTGTGCCCTCCATCTTTCCCAACATCAGGGTCTTTTCCAGGGAGTCTTCTCTTCTCATGAGATGGCCAAAGTATTGGAGCCTCAGCTTCAGGATCTGTCCTTCCAGGGAGCACTCAGGGCTGATTTCCTTCAGAATGGATAGGTTTGATCTTCTTGCAGTCCATGGGACTCTCCAGCACCATAATTCGAAAGCATCAATTCTTCGGCGATCAGCCTTCTTTATGGTCCAGCTCTCACTTCCATACATCACTACTGGGAAAACCATAGCTTTTACTATACGGACCTTTGTTGGCAAGGAGATATGATAGCCATCTTCAGATATCTAAGGGCTGTCACGGGGAAGATGGGGCAAGCTTGCCCTGCTCTGGAGGGCAGGGTCCAAGCCAATGGATTCAAATTGCAAGAAAGGCGATTCCAAGCTGTTTGACAGCGGAACGTGTTCTCTCATAAGGTGGTGGACTCTCCTTCCTTGAAGGTTTCTAAGCAGAGTTCGGATGGCCAGCACGGTGCGCTTTGGTTGAGATTCCTGCATTGCAGGGTGTTAGAATGGATGATGCTCAGAGTCTCTTCTAATTCTACAATTCTATGATTCTGTGTGGGGAGAAAAGCAAAGCAAAATAATATTCTGGTCATGTTTCACATTGGATCTGCTGCGGTTTTGTTTGTTGGCCATTTGTTATCATCCAAAGAAGATTGGAAAGGGGAAAGGGAGGACATATTTTGTATTCAATAAAGAAAAGCCTGTTCCCAAAACAGTCTCTCTCCAGATTAAAGAGGAAGGAAAGCATACCAGATGGTAAGAGGCTTGAGTCTGGAGTTTACGTCTCAGTCTGCAGTACAATCCTTTGTTGCAGAAGATGAGTCATACTTTAAGTGCACTTCCTGATGGGTTAGGAGAAGGAGGGCAGCAGAGACAGGGAACTGATAGAAAACTTAACAATAAATGTGCTTTTACTAAGCTCAGAATAGGCAGAAGAATCATCCTTCAGCTCAAGTGTTGTGTCTGAGTGAAGATAATGAGAATATGCTTAAAACCAAAAATAACAGACGGTTTAGTTTCATCTTGCACAGCCAGGTTAGCGTGACAAAGTGAGCAAAATCTTTTAGGGGTTCCCGGAATAAAGTTTCTGGCTTTAAAACCCTGTACCTAATTAGAGAATTTCTCCATTATTTTTGCACAGTAAGGTACAAGAGCCCTTTCATTCTCTCTCCTCCCCCCTCTCTTTTCCTCCCATTGAAAATCTGTTACCAAAGGCTGTCATTTCTTGGCAAAATTCAGTTCAAGGCAAACAGAATTGCAGCCTCCCACGCTAATTGAATACTGAGAAGTTTACAATCCCCATCATAACGGTTTCTGTCACAGTTGAGGAATCAAAAGTCAAATGTTTCTTGTTATGCATATGCGTCCCACTTCCAAGTGGGGAGCTATTCCAAGGGTACAGTGCTCATGCAGGAGTCTGTTTGTTTGGAAGAAGGTCACTGGCATTATTTACACACATTATATAGAATCATAGGATGGTAGAGTTGGAAGGGAACCCAAGGATCATCTAGTCCAACCTCCCGCAATGCAGGAATATGCAGCTGTCCCTTACGGGGATCAAACTTGCAACCTTGGCATTATCAGCACCATGCTCTAACCAACTAAGCTATCCAGGCTGACCCAAAGAAGAATGAAATGCCACATATAGCCAGCAGGAGTCAGTGTTCTCATGTAGTCACCCATCCAACCTTTTGCCCTTGTTGATTCTGCTTAGCAAATAAAGCACTTTTGGGTCGCTGCCACCAGAGCTATACGTGGAAATAAGTGAAAGGTTCACAACATTAACGCTTCAATAGATCCCACTTATCAATTCAATTTCTTGGGGTGGGGTGGGAGGGCGGCATTGTACCCTAAAATATGCTTTCAGCTCTCCAAGTTCAGTTTTGGGTGTCTGATTGGGCATGTCCCATGATTCAGTTTGGCCCAATTGGTAATTTTAGACCATGGGCTTAAAGGATCTTATTGGGAGGTAGGGTTATTTAAATACCAATTGCTCCACTTCTTTTAACTGTGGTCATACACCCCCTCGATGTATGGAAGTGAGAGCTGGACCATAAAGAAGGCTGATCGCCGAAGAATTGATGCTTTTGAATTATGGTGCTGGAGGAGACTCTTGAGAGTCCCATGGACTGCAAGAAGATCAAACCTATCCATTCTTAAGGAATGGATCTGTCCTGAGTGCTCACTGGAAGACAGATCCTGAAGCTGAGACTCCAATACTTTGGCCACCTCATGAGAAGAGAAGACTCCCTGGAAAAGACCCTGATGTTGGGAAAGATGGAGGACACAAGGAGAAGGGGATGACAGAGGATGAGATGGTTGGACAGTGTTCTCGAAGCTACCAACATGAGTTTGACCAAACTGCGGGAGGCAGTGGAAGACAGGAGTGCCTGGCGTGCTCTGGTCCATGGGGTCACGAAGAGTCGGACACAACTAAACAACAACAACAACAACATACACCCCCTCATTTTTTCCCTTGTGGACTCCTCAAGGATGTTTACATCACTGACGTCTTACAGCTAGAAAGACCATAAGATGCTTTCTGTCTGAGAACAATTGGAATTTGCCAGTGATTTCTAAAGAGGCTGTTTATCCAAGAGATGGCCCATAAATTTCCTTTCGCTAAGGCTTAATCCATAAAGCAGAGATGCTTACAGTAAATTTGTATCGGTGTGTTCCTTTGTGGGGGGGAAATATTTATGTCTCCTTTTCCTCAAATAATGTTTGATTTGTGATCTCATTTGTTAGGTAGGCACACGTTTCTTTCTGGGATTAGTCCTCATATATTGATGTTTCCCCTTTTTCTTTCTTCTTCCATAGAAATCATGCGATCTAATGGGTTTTGTTTAGCCAACACTGAAACAATAGTCATTGATCACAGTATACCAAATGGGAAAGAAAAGCACTTAGATGTCGATTCAGCAGAACATTTGTAAGTATACATGGTATTTGAATGAATATTTCCACCCGTAAACATAAATGCCCATTCTCAACATCATTTTGTGTCATCCCAGGGTTGATCAAGAACCAAAATGTTAGACGAAGCTGTTTGATGAAATATATCGCCTCTTTTCCATGCCCCACCCCAAACAGGATCTAAGTTTGGGGTGAGAGTTTACCGTGGACCAATGCCTCCCATACTACCAAGAGCAGCATAATCTGGAGGAAAAGTAGACTGGAGATACAAGTCTGAGAACTAATATTGAGGTGGAAGATGACAGGGAGGGAACAATATTAGGGCTAGACGATATATCGTCCAAAACTCGTTTGAAGTCCCTATTGTGATAGCGGTTTCATAAATTTTGACCTGCCAATATATTGCGAATCATGATGTGTGTGTCTGTGTGCTATGCAAAAATCACAATGTGGGAAAAACTGTGAAGCCAGCCAATGCCTCTACAAAACTCCATTCTTATTTCAGACATTGTGATATACCAGCAGTGCTTTTTTCCCCCATGGGGTATGCAAGGGTATGCAGTACTGGCACCTCTTTTTTGTTGTTGTTAAAAATTGTGGGACTTACTGTAACAACTTCACGGTGAGTTCCGGCACCTATTTTTCTAGGAAACAAGCACTGTACACCAGTATATCGCAATGTTTAGCTGATGATATAACACAATTTTGAAAACCAGCTCCATCCTTATTTCAGACATTGTGATATATCAGTATATCATGATGTTTAGCTGGCGATATAGCACCATGTTGAAAACCAGGCATCACCCAGCCCTACTGTTTGCCTCTACATAAAAAGGTAAAGGTAAAGGTACCCCGTTCCATCTTTATTTCAGACATTGTGATATATCGATATATAGCGATGTTTAGCTGGTGCTATAGTGCAATATTGAAAAGCAGGTATCACCCTGTGTTAGACAATATGTTTTTCCATTCTACCAAGATTGGGTTGAAAGTAAAAGGATGAGGGAGGAATTGAATGGGGGCAGACATTAGAGAGGAGAGTTGAATCAGAGCTAGGGGCAGGTAGTGAGAGGAGACAGCATGAATCAAGGAATGAAATTCTATATGCCTTTACCTAGTTCAATATAATTTGGACACCCATCCCAGTGGCAGAGCTCTGAAACGCCAGTCTTTATCCCATTACCACGGCAACATGATGAGGCTGAGAATCCAAAGACTTGAATTTATTTGGGCATTCATAAGAAATTTAGATTTACAAGCAATGAGTCGCTTGTAGATCCGAATCTCCTGTATAAATTAACATACAAAGTGGGACTCCTTTGACTTAGCGTTTTCCATTATAATGTGTGGCAGAGAGTCATTACAGATTGAATGTACCAGTCCAGCACAAGAGCACTCCTTTAGTTTTTATATCAGCACAACGGCTCCCTTGCAGCAACAGATTCCAATTGTGTGATCAGTTTTATGTTGTCTTCTCTTTGAATATATATATATTTATGTTGTGAACTTCCCTTCAATTGCTTGGGATTGTGTATTGAACCTTATCCAACCCAATCATGCTGGTGAGTGGGCTATTGACACACAAACAAACAAACAAACAAACAAACAACACACACTCTTAATACAGCTACTATGAGTCAGGCAGGTGGTTATTATATTACTAATGCTGAATCCCAGTTGGCATTAGTATAGTACTGAAAACACACTCTTTTCTATCTCCCATCCACTGCAAATAATGTTTTCTATGTTGCTTTAATGATAGGAGAAGAGTTTACAGATAGCAACCAAACCAAACTTTTAAATGCTGTCTTCATAGGCAGCTATGTTGACAATCTTCACTGCAGAAGATCCCTAGGAAATTCTGTTCTGGCAGGTAACTGATGTGTCACCTCAAGTAGTGTTAATTAGCTTCAGATAACAGTATCTTCAAGAACTTAAATATTTGCAGTGTAAAAACTGAACTCTTCATAGGTCAAGACAGAAGAGAAAGGAGGAGGAAAGAAAAGATTGAAAACCAAAACGATAACAATAAAATGGATCGACAGTTGGTTTGCAGCATTTTTGGACTAGATCTAGTGGTTCCAGTCTTCAGATCCTTGCACACAGCAGTGGCCTGTTTTGTCTTAACAGCATGCAAGGATCTTGTTGTGTACATACCCTAATCTGAGTGGCCAGCTATTCCATAGGGATCTAGCAACACTTGTGCAATCATACTCCACACAGCTAAATCCTCCACTGGTACTCTTTCTCATATTAATGAATGTCAGGGGCAGAAGCAGAAGTCACACTGGATGAGCGTCAGTGGGGGCTTGCTTATGCACATAGAATATATAGTAGGGACGCGGGTGGCACTGTGGTCTAAACCACTGAGCCTCTTAGGCTTGCTGGCCAGAAGGTTGGCAGTTCAAATTCCCACGGTGTTTCCGTGAGCTCTGGTTTCCATCACAGTGTCCTGTTGTGCCAGAAGCAGTTTAGTCCTGCTGGCCACATGACCCAGAAAGCTGTCTGTGGACAAACGCCGGCTCCATCGGCCTGAAAGTGAGATGAGCGCTGCAACCCCATAGTCGCCTTTGACTGGACTTCACCGCCCAGGGGTCCTTTTCCTTTTGGGACACAGGTGGCGCTGTAGGTTAAACCACAGAGCCTAGGACTTGCCGATCAAAAGGTCAGCGGTTCGAATCCACGCAATGGAGTGAGCTCCCGTTGCTCGGTCCCTGCTCCTGCCAACCTAGCAGTTCGAAAGCACGTCAAAGTGCAAGTAGATAAATAGGTACCACTCTGGCGGGAAGGTAAATGGCGTTTTCGTGCACTGCTCTGGTTCGTCAGAAGCGGCTTAGTCATGCTGGCCACATGACCCAGAAGCTGTACGCCAGCTCCCTCAGCCAATAAAGCGAGATGAGCGCCACAACCCCAGAGTCGGTCACGACTGGACCTAATGGTCAGGGGTCCCTTTACCTTAACCTTTACCTTACCTATATAGTCTTGCAAGATGATTGAGGCAGCAGGGGGGATTGGTTTAAATTTCAATTAAACAGGAAGCAGACAAATATTTCCAACATCCTTCAGAAGGAGGTGTTTCTGATTCAGTAGGTGGCAGTCTCTCCTCTCGAGTTTTCATGCATGTGGAACATTAGATTGGCTTGATTGTTGCAGCCTTCCGGGTGTTTTAATCGCTGCAGTTATATTAGTTCAGAAGAACGGCTGAAGTGATCCAGCCATACTATAAAGTATTTATAGCTCAGCCCCTTCTCGTGCCTAGCAAGATGTTCTAAGAGTGTCTTGTTAGCCTCAAAGAAGCAAGTCTTAGATTGCAAGGACCATGATACTGCGATGGTAAATGACCTAGCAAGAGAGAGGCAGGGAATGCAAATATCTTTCATCTAGTTTAGCTAAAATGTAAAGCTCATTTGTTCATGACTAAAATGAGGGGCAGTTTCCTAGCCACTGAATACAAAGTCATGTTCTCTGTGGCGGTTATTATTTTCAAATAATGCCCACAAATGTTGCAAATTCACAAGGAAGAGATCATGTAAGGCCATCAACAACAGGCCTAAAGCACAACTAAACATTCTGTCCTCTCACCAGCTTAGGGAAAATGTGTGGCGTTGCGGCCAATATTAACCTGGGCATTTAGTGGAGTTCCCATATGATCCATTCGGAACAAGTGAACTTCAATTCAGGATACCACGTGACTGTCAACAACGTCTGTGGTTGCTTGAACTCAGCCTGAAATGAAGGCCAGTTCGTATAGTGCACAGAATGGAACTACACCAGGAATGAAGTGTTTGCTTCCAAATATACCAACTTAGCTTACTACACTTTCATCAAGCCACTTTGGGTAGCTATGCATTTGTTTAAAGTAGAAGATGGGTGAGTTACGAGCCCTCAGTATGCGGCCAGCCACATGCTTCATCAGATGCCAAGCTCAGCCCAGATCCCATCAACATTTTCCATCTACATTAATTTTTAGTCATGTTAACTGTCAGTGGGTGACCTCATAGGAATCAAAATGGAAGAAACAGGAGATTTTTACCATCTTAGCTATAACTAAGAGTTCTGGTCAAGAGTTGACCCGTTGAAAGTAATGAACCTTATTTAGCTGTGCCAATTAATGTCAATGGGCCTGCTTTGAGTAGGGCTAGCATTGAATATCAGCTTGGATTTCTTTCTGCACTGCTTGCTATGTGCTAAGTAAAAAGGCCTTTGGAGAAGCTGTCAAAGGCTCTCAGAGTGAAGATATGGGCATTCGTTGCAAAAACCATGGCCATAGCACTTTCCAGTTAACTTCCTTTCTTCATCCTCCAATCCAAGTTATAATAAAATGAAGCATCATTACTATTTGACATGACCCTCTTTGGTGACCCAGAGAGAAAAATGCTTGTTTTCAATCGGGGTGCAGGATTTTGGTCTGTTGGTTATATAGTTATTAGGAAGCTTTTGGTGACATGGCAAATGGTGGCCTGTGGACATTTGAGTGTAGACTCTGAAGCCTAGTGGGCTTGCCATAACCAAGAGGTATGACTTGAGCATAATTTGCATACTTCTGGTAGCCCTTCAAGCCTTTTCAGCTACTAGATCTGCACGCCAGTCAATTCAAACCATTGTTTTGCTTGAGCAAAGGAATATGGAGCCTGAACAAAGAATTTCTGGGGACAACAAAGAAAACTCGGCATGTCCCAATCATTATTTCCCCTGCAAAAGGCTTTTAGCACCATTGGTATTGTTGTGAACGAGCTGGTGGTTTTGAGCACTGTGATTAGGAAAACAGAACCATATACCAGGGGTCAGCAAACTTTCTTTTTTCCAGCAGGGGGCCAGTCAACTGTCCCTCAGACCTTGTGGGGCCGCATATATATATATATATATATATATATATATATATATATATGGGAATGAAAGAATTCCTATGCCCCACAAATAACCCAGACATGCATTTTAAATAAAAGGACAAATGCTACTCATGTAAAAACACGGTGCCGGATTTAGAAGGCAATTGGGCTGGATCCGACCTCCGGGCCTGAGTTTGCCTACCGATGCCATATATTATCCCATGGTGCTTTCTATCAAGGGCATCTGCCGCTTCTCAGGAGCTTAATTTCTGTTTCCTTATGTGCATTCCATCCCAAGGCACATTTCCCCTTTTTAATACAGTAGTGTGACCAAGCAGGAATGACGTCAACTCCTTGTTTTGTCCCATTCTAGGTTTGAAAATGTTGGCGAATTTACCTCCGAGCTCGAGGGCAGCGATGACCCAGCAGCATATGTCACCAACTTATCATACTACCACCTGGTTCCGTTTGAAACTGATATTTTGGACTAAGACTGCCAAACGAACTTTGTGGCTGACATCAGAGGGGCGTCTTTAAGCATGGCGTTCACCATCCCATTGTTTTGCATCTGTCTTGAGATGCAAGGCAGAAAGGGGCTTGCTACACCTGTCTTGATGCTGGCAGTTCTGCCTGGTTCTTTATTGTGGTTCCTGGAAGCAGCTTTGAAGATGCCGTTCTATTCTAATGGACAAAGAGACATGAGTTTTGCCAAAGGGAATGAAACAAAGACACCTGGAGCATCATAGGCCAAGGAACTATGCCATGCAGCAAAATCAGCAGCAACCACACTGTTGACAAATCATTGGTGAATGTGCAAAAATCAGTGGCGCCGGTTCTTACTGATATACGGTAGAACTTGCAAAGACCATCCACATTTCTCCTCCCTCGAGCTCCCTCTTACCAGAAGTACATTCTTAACCTTTTCCAATGAAAGACCTCCTGTGTTCAGTTTTCATTCCTCAGAGTGACAACTTCTAACAAGTGTCATGGTAGTTCATTCATTGAAAGATGCCTTATGTCATGCGTGCCTGCAGGAAATAAGCACATAAATGGATTGCTTAATTTAACTTATTCTAAGCCTGTGGTTTTATTTAATCATCCAAGGGCCTGTCTTTTTCACTTGAAATAATAATTAATAATAAAAATAATTATAAAGGAAACAAGCAAGTTGCATCCCAAGTTGGGGGAAAGGGAAAGAAATGCACAATTTTTATTTTTTTATTTTTTAACTGTACCTGAATTTTGGATGGGTCTGCTAGAAATGCTGTTAGGATTTCTCCCGTCTTGGAACCAGGAAATCTTTGCCGTTCTCACTATTACAGGGTTTCCACTAGAATTGTCAGCTGGCTCTCTAGGGCATGAATGAGGATCTTGTGGCCCACCATATATTTGTGGACTACAACTTCTATCCATCATCCCTGACCAGTGTCCATGCCAACTGGGACTGATGGGAGTCAAATGTTCCTTTATGGCCCCCATTATTCTTACTTCTCATGCATTCAGAAATAAGCTTCATCCATCTACATGTGGACATTTTAAAGCTGTGCTACAGCAACAGGTGCACCCTTATAAAAATCCACTAGCCCACTTTGACTCTAGCCCTCCCCCTCTGTTTGCCTTCTGGGGTTGGAAGCTTGACCAAAATAGCTCTACAGCAGGCAGAGTTTTGGCTCTGAAAGAGCTTCCATGCACAGCTATTAAGAAAACAAGTGCAATTCTGGAGGTCCTTGAAAGTGACAGCCACATTGTCCCTTCTGCTTGCCACTGGCTTGGGGGAAAGCATAAACAACTCTTGCATTCCCTGAAGGAGGACATGGCACAGAGACAAGTTCTGTAGGCCTGAATGGCATGGATGAGGAGGGGGAACTGGTTCTGTGGTGACAGTAGTGGGCTCTGTTAATATGAAGCATTTGAGATAACAGCAGAAGCAGGCCTCAAAGCCTTTTAACTACTGAATGGTGCTGTGTTAAGCTTGGTTTTGGCTCCAGCTCATAGGGTGGCAAAGCACCTGTTATCGCAGCTTATTCAACCACATACTGTGATGAAGCTGCTTAATAAAGGCACATCTAAACTATAGGCCTCAACTGGTTTAATTGCCATTCCTTCTACTCAGGGGGAATATGAAGAACTGTATTTCTGTGAGCCATGCTCCAGCAGAGTATTATCAACACCCACTGAAAATTATAGTTCCCAGAGGAAGGGGAAATGGTGGTTAAACTGAGATAAAACTGATAGAGGTGTTTAGTGGAATTGCCAGAAGTTGTGTGTAGGAAATGAAGAACAGAATACATTCCAAGTTCCTTACTCCATTTGTTTCCCCCCAAGCTCCGAAGAATATGGTACATTGTCCCTTTCTCCTGTGAACCTTTCAGTATTCTTTTGTATATTGATTGTAAAACAAAATTTGCTAATGTAAATAGTAATAAATTATTGAGAACCCACCTCTTTTGCAAGAGATGTTTCCAATATATTTTAATGAAATAAAATATTACTCATTGTACGTGTAACACCTGGTATTGAGCGTGATCTTAAGGTATTTGGCGTATGAAACTGCCATATGCTGTTGGTCCATCTAGTGTGATACTTCCTGCTCTGAATGGGAGTAGCTTTCTAAAGGACAGAATGGCTGTGAGGAACAAGGCAAACCCAGCACGCTCCAATGCAGAGCAGCAGCATGGGAGCGCCACATCATCGTGGCACCAAGCAGGACCCCATTAACACAGAGAACTGAAGTGTCAACACGTTGTGTTGGAAGAAAGATGGGATTTTGAGGTTACCATGTATTGAAGAGGAGTTGCTTATTTCTGTAACGTGGTTTACCTTCAGTGTTCGTTTGGTTGTCCAACACTCTTCCTGGATCACTAGACAGTTGGACCATGGCTTGCACTTGCCACATGCCCTTATTCAAGATAGGGGACCTGCAGCTTTCTAGATGGTGCTAGACTCCAACTCCCATCAGCCCTGGCCAGGAAGGCTGCAGCTGATGGGAATGGCAGCCTAACAACTCTGAAAGGGTCACAGGTTCCTTGTCCCTGTACTACACAATTTTATCCTCGCAACAAGGTATGCTATACAAAGCAATAGTGACTTGCTCTTTGGCTGAGCAGGGCTTAAGGCCTAGGTCTCCCAGGTCTAAGTACATCACAATGTATTTGCTTGGTGGGAGAGAAATCTAAAAATGATCCCTTGAGAACCCAGAGCTACCGGTATTTCTTTACTGGGACTGACAGAGCAATGTGCTGCACTGCTGTTGCTTTTTCTCTGCTTCCATCAATGGCACTGTGATGTCATTAATACCCAAAGGGAAATCCTGCTCTTAATACCAAATGTGGAGATGGATTAACTGTACTGTCTTTGGTGAAGCAATCTGGGGGTTGCCCTCAAGCTGTTTCTAGTACAGAACTAACCAATTGTAACCTATAAAGTGATCATTTATGTCAATTCTTGCCGTTAGTTAGGTTACATAATTAAGTGTTATGTCCAGATGATGAGTGAAATCATGTTACTAAATTCCAGCTCTTTAAGGGGCTGTGGGGGTGGGGCTGGGAACGACTTGGCACAGTCTTAATAAAACTACGCACTGGTTAATTTTTGCTTCAATTGTAGAAATTGAAAGTTTTATTTCTGCTGACTTGTGAGGACAGAGACTTGAACGTGAAAAAAAATGCAATCACTGGAGATGGAAACAAAGGCACAGAGAGCTAAATACTTCTTCCGTTATAATATTGACTAGAATTTGGAATTATGCAATAAAGGGGATTGGCAGTAGGTTCAAGACAACAAAAGGAGATATATATTTTTCTCCGCACAGCATAGAAATGACTGATGGAATTTAAGCAAATATGAGATGTGGTGGCCATTAGCTTAAGTATTATAAGCTAACAGCTGGCTACTGTTGTTGTTTAGTCATTTAGTCGTGTCCGACTCTTTGTGACCCCATGGACCAGAGCACGCCAGGCACTTCTGTCTTCCACTGCCTCCCGCAATTTGGTCAAACTCATGCTGGTAGCTTCAAGAACACTATCCAACCATCTCGTCCTCTTGTCGTCCCCTTCTCCTTGTGCCCTCTATTTCCCAACATCAGGGTCTTTTCCAGGGAGTCTTCTCTTCTCATGAGGTGGCCAAAGTATTGGAGCCTCAGCTTCAGGATCTGTCCTTCCAGTGAGCACTCAGGGCTGATTTCCTTCAGAATGGATAGGTTTGATCTTCTTGCCGTCCCTGGGACTCTCAAGAGTCTCCTCCAGCACCATAATTCAAAAGCATCAATTCTTCGGCGATCAGCCTTCTTTATGGTCCAGCTCTCACTTCCATACATCACTACTGGGAAAACCATAGCTTTTACTATACGGACCTTTGTTGGCAAGGTGATGTCTCTACTTTTTAAGATGCTGTCTAGGTTGGCTGGCTACTATTAGCAATATAATCACAACACTTCTGACTAATCCAGTGAGGCAGGGATTATCTTTCATGTACCTTTATGCCAGAGATTGTCCAAGTACGTTGGCTGCTGTGTTTGTTTTAAAAGGCTTTCCGTAATCGGTGCCAGCAAAGTAATTATCAAATCATCCTGTAAAAGCTGCTCCCTTACTTGAGTGCTTAACATACGTTGTAGTAATAACTCTTGGTCATCTTAAGAATCTCTTTTTATTGTGGTCTATTCATGTTGCGGTTTCATTTGAGCCGCCCCTGGAGTAAAATCCATTGTTGTTTCCCATTTAGGTTTTCAGAACCCAAACACATTCCTCTCTGCAGCATACAGAAATCAGCGTATGGCAGCTCGGCATCTGCCATCATTTTTACACAAGGTCATTACTGTACTTGATGTCACATTAAAAAACAACAACCCACCCAAGACTCTTATTTCCAAAGAAACGGCTCAAAAGATGAATTTAGCTGTGCTTGATGGCTATGGCTGCTTTCTGAAGCTGATGACAGCATGAAGTAATAATAATTTCCTGGAAACAAACCATTTGCTTTTGCCTCGCTGAAATGGCACCAGAATGGCAGCAGGTGTATTGCATCAGTGTCATTGCAGCCTCACTGCATACATTTCCTTGCAAAACAAAATAATATCTGTAAAACCCTTTGAGGGAGTGATTCCTTGGCTCCCTTTAACGGTCAGTTTGAACTGCTTTAGACAGAGCCACATCTATGTGTTTAAGGAATGCATTTTACATCAATATAATTGCCGTCAGATTCTTAAGTTGCGCTCACTGACCAAAGCATGTAACCTACAAAATGGGAGCTCTGTTCGTGAGAACCTGCAAACAGCATTCACTGAACACATGGATGATAACAGGGTGGGATTTTGCCTGCTAGATCTACCTCAAATCTCTCTGTGCTCACAGAAAGCGCCAAGGAAACTCTGTATTGCACACCTAAATATACAGAGGCTTTGGAGCATGATTTGCGACCCATGCACAATCTGGGCCTCCAGCTGTGCACTTTTTACATGCACAGAGAAGTCCTTCATTCCTCCTGCTAGATATGCAAAGGTGGGCCAAGAAGCATGATGGATCCCCGCCCCGATGTGTTTGATGAGCGTGGTTTGAAGGTGTCAATAGGGCTAGTGTGTCGCTCAGTCAAGCATCTCTTTATGGCCAGTATTACCAAGATCCATTCAACATTGTTGAAAACCCACCTGCCATTTTCATTGTTCCAGAAAGAAGCAATTGCACAAAGTCTGAAGTCCGAAGGTGAAACTGCCTCCTATTAGAGAGAGGTTTGGAAAACCACATCTCTCTTTCTCTTGATATAATATTCTCTCGCTTTCACAATAAGGCTGTATTCGAAGAACTAAGTCAGCATTCTATCATCTTCTCAGTTTTTAATATGGCACAAACCAGCAACAAAAAAATATAAAGTGTACCCTCTTTGGGGAACACCAATAACATGTAAAGATTGTGGACTCACACCTTAGAGAGTTAAAGGTTCTTAAGTGCTTCCATAGTCCAACATTTGCTGGAAAGAAATAATCACTGTGCTTATCTTGTATCCCCCCCATCTTTATTGAAAGTTCAAAAAGTACATAGTTATATGTGCATTAAACATGGTGAGATGTAAATAAAAGAGAGAAAAAGAGGGGGAAAGGAACAGCACCCATATATAAGGGAAAATAAAGAGGGAGGGAGGAAAACCCAAAACTGTATATTTTACAAGGTTGTTATTGTACTTCACCAGATCTTAACCTATTACAGTACAGTGGTACCTTGGGTTACAGACGCTTCAGGTTACAGACTCTGCTAACCCGGAAATAGTAGCTCAGGTTAAGAGCTTTGCTTCAGGATAAGAACAGAAATCACATGGTGGCGGCGCAGCCGCAGCGGGAGGCCCCATTAGCTAAAGTGGTGCTTCAGGTTAAGAACAGTTTCAGGTTAAGAATGGACCTCCAGAACGAATTAAGTTCTTAACCCGAGGTACCATTGTATTTGTAAGAATGGATTCCAAATACCATTGAATTTGTCCATGGCAAGTCTGCATTTATATGCAAGTTGTTCATATGTTGCGAGTTTGTATAAGTCGTCAATCCAATAGTCGAAGGGAGCCGCATTTTTATTTTCCCAGTTCATCAGTATCAGTCTTTTTGCTGTAGTAAGGGCATGGAGAGTCCATTCGTATTGTCCTTTTGTAAGTTTCCATGTGCTGGGTATATAATTCAAGAGGATATTTTGCTCCATAAATGTAAGGTGGTTCTGCACTGTTCTGTTGATAGTTTCAGTTACCTTCTGCCAAAAATCTTCCGATACAGGACAATGTTTTTTAATCTTGTATTTTCTTTCTGCTTATATGTATTGCACCTTTCGATCTAGAAAAATCCCCAAACCAGTTTACATAACAGAATGAAATCTGATTACATCAGGACTCCTTCTACTCCTTTACAATGCATAGGATCGCTCCAGGCTAGCATATCTGGGTTATTATTAGATCCTTGTGGCTTTCCCCAGTGCCTTCCATCCTATCTCACTCCCTCAAAGGCTGGCAAATAATTGTCCTGCTGAATGGTCCCTCCTCGCTTTCCCTGAAGATGGGAGGACTTTTCAGTGCCCAAGGGCAGAGAGGGAGAACCCAGGTGCAACAACAGGTGCCTTGGGTGATATGCTGAGCAATGTTCTTCAAGCTTCTGATGTCTGAATGCTTGCTCCTTCTTCCTGCCACTGCCAGGACCAGACAGTCCAACCACCTAGAAGGTGCTGCCAAGTGCAGCAGCTGTACGTTTGTGGCACAGCATTGCCACAGATGGTATCTTTGCATTTCATGGCTGTTTGGCCCCACAATTTACAATGCCACCCCTCCCCTCTACACCCAGATGTGCATATATCTGCCAACTGAGGACGACACTTCATGCGTCTGATGAAACTGGCTTGAATCCACAAATGCCCGTGCCGTAATAAATCTCTCTTGATAGCACAACATAATTCTCCACTGATTTGGCACAAGACATGGATCTCCGGTCTTTCGCAGAATGGACAGGACCGCAGGAGAAAGAGGGTTGGGTCAAGATTCTGTGAGTCAAGATTCTATCTCCAGATGGTGGAGCGAGCTCAGTTGGCAGAGTACAAGATTTTTAATCTCACGGTTGTGGGTGCAAGCCCCATGTTGGGCGAAAGATTCCTGCATTGCAGGAGGTTGGACTAGATGACCCTCATGGTCACTTCCAACTCTACAATTCTATGACTGTATGAGACATAATTGATCTGTTTAGTGTGTATGGATTTTAGTCAACGTACATGCAAAAAGTCAATACCAAAATTTGATAATATTGAAGGGAATACAGTGGTACCTCAGGTTAAGTACTTAGTTCGTTCTGGAGGTCCATACTTAACCTGAAACTGTTCTTAACCTGAAGCACCACTTTGGCTAATGGGGCCTCCTGATGCTGCCATGCCGCCGGAACCTGATTTCTGTTCTCATCTTGAAGCAAAGTTCTTAACTTGAAGCACTGTTTCTGGGTTAGCGGAGTCTGTAACCTGAAGCGTATGTAACCTGAAGTGTATGTAACCTGAGGTACCACTGTATGTCGTGCCAGCAATTTCTGCCAGAAAAATCACTTATGGACATTCAGCCCTGCTGAACACAATGGGACTTACTTCCAAGTAAACATCCTTAGGATTGCATTGCTAGTATTCCCCTTAGTATTGCATTGTTAGTTGTGTGTGTTAGCACAGGGAATATATGTTTGTTACTCTGCATCTTACAAGCTGCTCCTGAATATTTTCCCCACTGAGGCTCCCTTAACATTCAGAATAAAAATTGCACCAGAGGGGGGGAAAAAATTAGGAGCTTGCTATTACAAAGTGAATGTCCTCAGGGTTGCTCCCTACCCTAGTGAGCCTTTTGAAGGATGTGCTGATGCGCATATATATATATATATATATATATAGGCAGTTACATGCAGGAACAAGAATGTAATAAATTAGTGCAGTCCTAAGTAAATAAGCAGCAACTGACGAGCAACATTTGGGTTGAGTTTTTCTCTTTTCCAGCAGTTACCCGCAAGCTTTCCCTTGCTTTCTTGCTGAGTCAGTGTTCTTCTCTAACTGAACTGTAAGTAGGTCTGGTGTGGAAGAAGGATCTAAGTAACCCGAAGGACTAATTTTGCAAGCAGGCCTGAGCAAATACATTTTGTTGTTGACAGCCTGAGGTAGGCAAAATTCCCCCCCCCCCCTTCTCTGTTACCACACAGAGATTTTGACTGCAATGTGAGTTGAATCTTAATTCCAGCACGGGTGGCACCACATCCTCCATGGCACCTAAGGGCAGCAGGGTATTTTGAGAGGCACACGGACGGTTACATGGCATTAGGGGTATGGCATTACATTGGCCATAAAATTTGGTTTGGCCCCTGGCACTTCAGGAAATAGCTTGCCTTGGCCTGAAGTACTTCAGAAGCTTCAGCTTGGAGTCAGAGCCTGATTCAGAAAACAAGAACAACTAGGTGTCCTTCCCACCACCACACACAAATTTCACTACCAGGAGTAGTTTAAAAATAGCTACATCTTCTTTTCTTGTTTGACAGAGGTGGGTGAAATTGGCATGTATCGTAGCTCCTGTCAAATCACAGGCAAATACATGCAGGCATCGGAGCCAACTCCTCGGGGCCAAGATCGCTTTGGTACCTCCAATAAAATATTTGTGGGGGCCGCCCCCTCAAAGAGGTCATATTCAGCTGAAAATTATGAGCACTCTTCCTTTTGGCAGGTGAACTCCCCCCCCCCCCATTCTTGCATAATGAGCTGCCCCTGTCACAATTCTCTCTTCTAACCAGGTGGCCTTTAAGACCCAGAGAAAACAGACAGAAGAGAGATGCCACAGTTATGCCTACCTGGAAGGGAATGGTGGGTCTGGAAGAAACAAACATTATAAGAGGAGGTTTGGTTAATTTGCCCCACCTTGGGTTGTGCTATGCAGAGTTTATAAGAGCATCTCATAAGCTGTTTGTATCACTTTTAGGATTTGGGGCTGTGGTGCCAGTTCCCAAGCGTTTTCTCAATTTTTTGATATCTACCACAATGACGTTTGATTCCCTGATGCTTAGCAATCTGCAAAACCATGAATGAAAAATGAAAGAAGTGTAGGCAGCAGGGGTCAAGACATTAGTTATGAAACGAAAATCGCAGCAGGCAGTCTGGTTATTATTGTGAAAAGATGTTAGCGGGGGGAAAACAAAACCTCCAGGATGACTACAGATGTTCCAGGAGTACATAATGAACTTGCTGTGTGTTCTGTATTCACCCCAAGCTGTTCGAAATGTTGACTTGGAGAACGATCATATATTCTGTTCCAATGAGCCAAACTGTGTCTCTCTCTCTCTGTGTGTGTGTGTACAGAGAAATCTATAGCTCAATGAGCCAACAAGGAACTGCGAAATAACTCTAAATCTGTGACAAACTCTGGAGATGGGACTATTACACTGGCAACACTGCATTATGCAGGTCCATACACATCATGCGCCATCGATTTGGATTAGCTTGACTTCTCACTGGTGACGGAAGGTGGAAATGTGGTATACAAGCTCATCTCCAGATTATTAGGCATACAAGTGCAATTCTCTCCAGGTCTGGAAACAAAGTCGGTGGCTTGTCAGACATGCACATTTGGATAAGGCTCCATCAGGGAAGGGCTGAGGAAATGAAAACAGCCTCAACATATGGAAGATTTTCTATAGCAATATGATGCAATGTATAATGACAGTTTTTCTTTCCAAGTCTGGCAATTTAGTTTTAATTGTGCCCTGGGGAACTCTTAAGGAGCAACGAACGCACGATGGCAAGGTGCTCTAATCTAGACATTACTACTTCAAATATATTCATAACTCCTCATTTTTAGATAAAAGCAATAAAGCTGCCTGAGAAAATAGAAATGGCATCTATCAGGCAGGTGCAGCTAGATGATAGGATGGAATGGAAGCTATTGCTGCAAAGCTGTGTAAGTTTCTAATGCCAGAAAAGTCTTTTTCGGTTGTTGTTACGGTAGTCTATAGATCGAAAACTGCCTCCGTAGAGATGAGCTGACATAATCACATACACAGTGCCTTTGTTTTATAAACATGCTTGCTCAACTGTCAGTCCTACAAAATGGGGATCGTGCAGATTAACCTTTCCTAGACAATAAATCACTTGTCTAAGGAATTTGTCAGGTGAAAACGATAGTCTTTTGCCACGAAAATTCATCGTTTTCCTCTTTCCCTGACTGGTTCATTATTTACCTTTCAACTGGCAAACTCTGCAAGTCTAAACACTTGCAGGGAGCGATCCTATAGCAAGCTCCATCAGGATGAGTGGGATAGGATCCAGAGGATCTCCGGATGGTCCAGGAGGTTCTTGGCACAAACAGGCTATATGGCAGCTTATCTCCCACATCCTTGGCTCAGACAGAGTTATGCCAGTACATTTCCCTCATCCCTACACAACTTTTAGAAGACATCTGAAGGCAGCCCTGTATCGAGAAGTTTTTAATGTTTGACATTTTATTATTTTTTAATATTTTGCTGGAAGCCACCCAGAGTGGCTGGGGAAACCCAGCCAGATGGGCAGGATATTATTATTATTATTATTATTATTATTATTATTATTATTCCAGCTCAACCAGGACCCAGCAGATCTTAAACTAGAAACCCAGCCTACGTTAAGCAGGCAAAAGAGAAATAAAATAAACTAGAAATAAAACATAAGATAAAAATTAATCTAATGACCGAAAGAATAAATTATTGAAATAACAACGAGGGTGGAGGAGAAGTAGCAGCAGCAGCAGAGGAAACAATGTGTTCTGTGGCATGAAGTGAATTACAAGCTGTGGTTTCAGAAGCAGTTGAATCAACCGTGGTGATGGGAAAGTGTCCTTAAATGTGGCTGAGGACTGCAGATTAGCTTAGGACAGGACAGGTCATATGACATACAGTGTTACCTCGGGTTAAGTACTTAATTCGTTCCAGAGGTCCGTTCTTAACCTGAAACTGTTCTTAACCTGAGGTACCACTTTAGCTAATGGGGCCTCCCGCTGCTGCCGCTGCGCTGCCAGTGCACGATTTTGGTTCTCTTCCTGAGGTAAAGTTCTTAACCCGAGGTACTATTTCTGGGTTAGCAGAGTCTGTAACCTGAAGTGTATGTAACCTGAAGCGTATGCAACCCGAGGTACCACTGTATACACCTCTGCCCTCCAACACATTCCTGCCACTCCCTGACCTACAGTATCTATCGTCTCAGGTGGTTGCCTCACTCTACCTAATGGTAGAGCCAGCCATGTATCAGGAGCGACTGGGAATCCACAGGATTCAAACTCTCCCATTCCACTGACATGTTTCTGACAAGGCAGATGAGATAGGCCTGTCTTGGTACTGGCATCGTTGTTTTCTCTCCCACCTCTTCCACCCTGATTGCCGTGAGGCCAGCAGGGCTTAGGAAATTGTGGTCCCTCCCCTGTACACACTCAGACTTCCACACAGGAACTGCAACTCAGGTTGTTTGATATGCCATATAATGGCGAAGTATATCAATATCGTGATTCCCAAATGTAGCAGATATATCACGAGATATATCCTGGTCAAAAGAGATGAACAGAAGAGCTTGTGTGAGATGGAGTTGAGGAGAGCACTGGGGAAATTAAATGTAGAATATATTTATTTTTTGTCACGGTTGGGATTTCTGCATTATAACCTCTTTTTTGCTTCTCTGGCATAATACGGAACTCGCCGCATACATAGAAAAGGGGGGGGGAGAGAGATAAGACACACTCCAGTCCTTTCACACTCCAGTTCTTTGTATGCAACCTCTTTTTTTCTTTCCTTTCCCCTCAGTCTGCCTTTGTGCTTTGATGGAATTTACCACTGAGCAATAGTTGCCATGGTAACCAGGACATGGCTGCGCTAGTAATAAAGAATCCCTAGAGAGCAAATATACAAGCCACAGACACAATTCTTTTTTTGGGGGGGTGGGTTTGCGTGCATTTTGGGATACCCTGTGTACCCAATCTCTGGAGTCTCCAAATAGGGTAGGCAAACTAAGGCCCAGGGGCTGGATCGAGCCCAATTGCCTGCTGACGGTCTGGGAATCAGCGTGTTTTTACATGAATAGAAAGTGTGCTTTTATTTAAAATGCATCTCTGGGTTATTTGTGGGGCATAGGAATTCGCTCATTATTATTTTTTCAAAATCTAGTCCAGCCCCCCACAAGGTCTGAGGGACAGTGGACCGGCCCCCTGCTGAAAAAGTTTGCTGACCCCTGTGATAGGGCTTTGAATAACCCCTGTCTAATACCCAGGAGAGTCACTGTGACCAGGGCGGGAGGAGGTAGGCGGAATTCTTCTTTTTCCTTCTCACTGAGGGAAGGAACTACACCTGCCATAGTCTCAGGCCAGTTTGGTGGGTGTATCTGTCATGAAATTCTACTCAGTACCGATCCAGAGCAGATTCCAACGCATAGTTAGCAGAGTAAAAGCTTAAACATGTTGCAGGATTCCCAAAAAAATAGACCAGAGGTGATCACATTTCATCCAGCAGAGCTTTACTGCTACTGAAGGCAAATGAGCATAATGGTCACAAATCCAACACATTCAGGACTGGCCCTGTCCATAAGAAATCCAATTGCAGCAGACTTAACTTAAACTTAGCAATAACTTCTAATAAGTCTAAACCTTAATGCTAAGCATACTATGTACAGAATACCACACCAGAAGGAAGAGAGAAAGAAAGAGAAGTGAAACCCACGCTCCTTCTGGCCTTAATTTTATAGTCAGCATGACCTTGACAGAAAAAGATAAGAGAACTACAGTGGTACCTTGGGTTACATACGCTTCAGGTTACATACGCTTCAGGTTACACACTCTGCTAACCCAGAAATAGTGCTTCAGGTTAAGAACTTTGCTTCAGGATGAGAACAGAAATCGTGCAGCGGCGGCGCAGCGGCAGCAGAAGGCCCCATTAGCTGAAGTGGTGCTTCAGGTTAAGAACACTTTCAGGTTAAGAACGGACCTCTGGAATGAATTAAGTACTTAACCCAAGGTACCACTGTAGTTTAATCCAGCTGTACTCATCTTCTCTGAAGGAATAACCCAAACATCACGAACCTTCTGCTTGCTTCTTTCACACAGAGAAGCTTCCAGAACCCTCCGGAATTAAGTAGAATAGGAAGGATCTCTACACATCAGATTAATACTTTCTGCACTAAGAAATGCAAACTGACAGTATCAGGGTAGTGTGGTGGCTTTGGAGACTGAGGGCCCATGACCACTCTTCCCTTAGGACATCTATACAAGCAAAGCTTTCTGGGAAAGTACTGAGGGATCTCTAGAGCTGTAGATGTCCCACTGATATGACTTCCTAAAGCCGCTCAGCCAGTCTTCAACCATCTGCAGGGTTGCTGCCAAAATCAGTTAAAAGGCATAGATGGTATATCGCACCAGTACAAATAGCAAAAATGTACAAAACCGGGTCAAACATATGCTGGAAATGTAAAGAAAAAGAAGGTACCGTATTTTTTATCATATGTGGTGGGAATGTAGAGAAATTAAAAATTTGTGGGAAATGATATATAATGAATTGAAAAAAAATGTTTAAAATGACATTTGTAAAAAAACCAGAAGAATTTCTGTTAGGGATTGTAGGACAAGACCTGCCAAGAAAAACAAAGAACTTATTTAGGTATGCCACAACAGCGGCAAGAGTCTTGATTGCACAAGGATGGAAGAATGAGGAAATCCCAACGAAAGAACAATGGCAAGAAAAACTGATGAACTATGCAGAGCTGGCTAAATTGACATACAAATTGCGGGACAAGGGCAACTGTGACTTTAAAGAAGAATGGGAGCTTTTTACAAGTTACCTAAAAAGACAACAAAATGAAGTGGACTCCTTGGCAGGTTTGAATAAACATCCACAAATTTATTAGGTGAACATATGATCGACAAAATAAAGGTATGTACAATTTTATAATATGCAGAGAGCGATATGTGCAAAGAAATCAGAGAGGGGAGCTGAGGGAAGTCTTTGGTGGGAGGGGAGGGAGGGATGAGGAGGGGGAAAAGGGGGAGGAATAATGTAATTGATTATATGGACTGATAATTTGTTATGTTGAAATTGCTTAATAAAAATATTTTAAAAAACAAAAACAAAATCAGTAAAAAGGCAATATCAAAAGAACCCATCAGCTACCCTAACTTTCAAGGTATGAATGGAACATGTTCTAATTATTGGCTGTTGCTGTCAAACTTTTAACAAACTTTTGTCCCACTGCCACTTCTAGTCAAACAGGGCTTGAGGTTTTTGGGGGTTGTTTTTTTTTGAAACACCACAAACAGCCGAAAATCTGTTTGCTGGAGAGGAAATGACATGTTGATGATGCTAAGATGATCCGTTACCTGAAGGGACTGAGGAGACAGATGTCTGGTGTAACTAGAAGAGATTTAACTAGAGACATAAACAGTCAATTAGACAGAGACCTGGAGGACTGAGTGACTTGTTTTCTCCCTTAATTTCCCCATCATAGATACTTTTCTGTTAGCTTCAGCCTTGAATGTTACAGAAAAACTTAAAAGCATTTCCCATGAAATAAAGCAGTTGCCACATTTCAATTCAGGAGTATGAAGGCTCATTGCGTATTTGTGCGTGCAGGAGATTATGAATGGTAACATTAAAACTGTAGGTTTTGAGCAGTAATTTGGTGCTAACAGATTCCGCATTGCCAACAGTTTAATGTTCATTTCTCATAAGAGAAATGTGTTAATGTTGTAACGTTATGCAAATGTGAAATATTTAGCAACCGCACAGCCTTCCCTCGGCAGCTGAGAAATGATAGCTTCAAATTGCTTTGATAAATGAATGCATGAAGATGAAGAGGAAACTGCCTGATGATTTTTGCTCTGGCTGATCAGGAGCTGCAGTTGTTGTCTGACAGGGACTGTCCATGAATGATCCTTCAGTGAGGTAACATCTGCCTGATACAGAGACTGTTCTGCAGGCATTTACTGATGGCCTAAGACAGTGCATTATTCATCACTACGAGTAATATTGCGAACTGCCTGGTGCTACTAGGAAATGTACTCTTTGGTTCCTGTAAATTGGGTTGCTGTGCATGGCTGCCTGGATTTTAGTCCCAAACAGTGGTGTAGCATGGGGAGGGGCATCGGGGCAGTTGCCCCGGGCGCAAAATTGTTAGGGGCATAAAATTTCAACACCTGGTGCTGCATCAGAAAGCTGTGCACTTCCGTCTATTGAAAACGGCTTCTCCATGTGAACCAGGAATTGAACTCTCCAGACAACAGAAGACTCTTCTTTTCTTAGCTCTACAGCTGTGATCTCTTGGGTGATGCGGATGACATCAGGCAGTTGAATGCACATGTGCACTCCATCCGTTTCCCTCCTTCCCTCCCACCCCCGCCCTCTGTGCATCCCCGGTTGCTGGCAACCCACGCTACGCCACTGATTCCAAACTCTCATTGAAGTTGCAATTCTATCTGCACTCACTTGGGAGAAAGCCCCTTTGTACTCAACGAGACTTATGTCTGAGTATACATACATAGGATTGCACTGCATCTTACTGTTCCCAAACCTGTTGACTGACTGATCCCTTCAACACTGCCATTGATCAAGATGAACACCTCTTGCATACACATGCTTGCTGCTGCATGTGGGAATACAGTGGAACCTCTACTTACAACCACAATCTGTTCCGGAGGTCTGGCCATAACCAGAAACGTACAGAAGTAGAGGCACACTTTTCCATAGAACGTAATGGAAAAGTCAATTGATCCATTCTAGATGATGAAAAACACCCCCTAAAACAGCAATTTAACACGGATTTTACTGTCTAACGAGACCATAGATCCATAAAATGAAGGCAATAATCCATGTACTGTACTATAAAATAAATAAGACAGTATTGTAGATGAAAAAAATAACATTTTTCCCCCTTATGTGCATTGAGGGTGGGTGGGCTTACCTGGCTACAAGCTGGGGGTGGGGCAAGGGTCAGTAAAGAGTTGATTCACTTCGGCCAGGGTCACTTTTTTTTTCTTGCCAGGCCAGGTTCTTCTCTGGACTTCCTCAGGTTAGTTCCTCGGTGGGGTTTGGGGCTGCAGCGTGCCCTGCTGTGCCTCTTGCAGGCGGCGCCTCTTCCACAGCTTCGGGAGTGGGATGAGGGACTTCTCCCCGGCAGCAGAGGCCTCAGCGCTACTCCGCAGCCGGCGGGGTAAGCTCTGGCAAACCAGAGGCCTCTCCCTGGCGACGGAGACCCCAGCGCTGCCCCGCAGCTGGCCGGGCGAGCTCTGGGCTGCTGGCAAGGCCTCTGTTCCTATCTAGAGGAAAGTTCATAAGTCGAAGCACCTACTGAAGGTCATAACTGGAATCGTATGTAAGTAGAGCCGTACGTAAGTCGAGGTTCCACTGTATTTAGGATCCAGACTGGACTGGCTTAGTATCTATCTTAGAAGCATGTAAGGCTGCTGATAAATTCTGTAGCACTTACATAAAGAAGCACCAATGTTGCCATCAGCGCCTCCCACTGGTCACTAATATTTATTTGATGGTGGCAGCAATATTTTTAGATCCAGCAGTGCATGAAAGCAATGGAAATTCTACCTGAACAGTGCCCAGTTGTGAACCTGCTAGCAGCCCTGGGTGTCATGTTCCTGTGTTGACTGCCTAAAGACAAACGGCAAATGTGAACCAGCCCTTAGATATTCTATGTTAAGAGAGAATTGGAAGGCGAGAGATTTATATGATCTGAAGTGAAACCAGAGGGAAGTCAGCGTGAAAACATGTTTGCAGAGAAATGGAGTATGGCAACACAGTCAGATGGGCAGGGTACAAATAAAATAGTAATAGTAGTAGTAGTAGTAGTAGTAATTTGACACTGGAATAACGAAGTCCAGAACTCAGTAAATCTACAGCTGTTGTTAGGAAACATTTAAGCATGTTGAGCATAATGGGAAGCAGAAACAAAGAGTTTATTATTATATATTGCTTACAAGTGTATCTTAAAATGGCATATGTAGCTAATGTATAATGTTATTGTGGCGTTCGTACAGAGCCCCTGGTCGTTTCACGGACTATTGACATGCACACCACTACTTTATTCTTCTACTGCAACCAATTTTGTGGAGAAGACCCAGGGTTCCCCAGTGAAGTACAGTGGTACCTCAGGTTACATACACTTCACGTTACATATGCTTCAGACTACAGACTCTGCTAACCCAGAAATAGTACTTCAGGTTAAGAACTTTGCTTCAGGATGAGAACAGAAATCGTGCTCCAGCGTCGCGGCGGCAGCAGGAGGCCCCATTAGCTAAAGTGGTGCTTCAGGTTAAGAACAGTTTCAGGTTAAGTACGGACCTCCGGAACAAATTAAGTACTTAACCTGAGGTACCACTGTATTGAGTCTCAGTCAGGTAGAGTTAACAATGAAGATTAAAGTTTATTTCAAACACAAACAAGTTTTTAATATATTCGAAATTCTGTCACTCTATTCCCTCTCAGTCTTGTCCCTGTCTTTGACTCCTTTATCTCCCCCCTCCCCCAAAAAAGAACCAACCGAACTGTCAAAACCTCTGGGCTGAGCCTCAAAATCAGGTAGCCTCCGCCTCCGGGTTTTCTTATTGGTCAACCTATTAACCCTTTCTCCCCTCCAATACAAACGTATCTCCAAAGAATGAGCAAACGCCACATCTATTGAATAGGTAACTGATGCTGTAGTTTGTTTCCATAATGGGAATTTTATATGGTGAGTTACATCATGACATTATGATTATATCTATTCGGTATACGGTACATGGATTTAAAACTGTGGTTGTGATTCTTGAGAATGTGGAATAAAATACATAACAAAACAGAAAGATTTGTAAGTGCAAGCACTGAATGAGAGCCTCTTTGCAGGGCTCGCCCTAGCATTGGGCACTGTGAGGCAGCCACCTCAGCAGCTGGTGCTGGGGGACAGTGGTAGTAATGAGGTGCTGGAGACAGAACTCACTAGACCACTTGACTTGCAGTCTGCTGCCCTCAGGTGTGGTAGAGGATCCTGTCAGTGTGGAATTAAGATTTACCGTATTTTTCCATCTATAAGACAACCTCATGTATAAGACGCCCCCTATTTTGGGGGACTCCGATTTAAGAAAATGGGGGGTGATACCATCTGTGTATAAGACGATTTTGAACATTATTTTAGAGTAAACAAACATAGTCTTATACACAGAAAAGTATGGTAATTGCCAGTCCAGTCAACCACTGTATGTGGAATTGTGGGGAGATGCCATCTTGACTTTTGCCTTAGGCAGCAAAATGTCTTGAGCTGGCCTTGGAGTCTTCCCATTGGTATTCCTCATTTGCCTCATTGGAATATGATAGTGGTGATGATTTATTTTAGAAATGTATATATGGTCTTTCATTTTGAGAAGAAATACCATTTTTTAAATTTTTTTTTACAAACACGTAAAAGCCTTAATCATCAGGATGAAAGGGAAACGAAAATGAGGTTGCTGAGAACCTGTAAAGCTAATGTGTAACAAAGCTTGCTAATTAATTGAAAAGAAAAAAAGAGGAAAACTTGGCCTTGGAGAGCAGCTGAATATGTAACAGCAATTAAGTCCATATTCAACTCCGTAAAGCATGTTTCCCCTCTTCAACTAATCAGTGAACATTTTAGACATTCATATGCATGAAAGGAAGTACATTCAGCTCTGAAAATACCAACCATCACCAACTACTAGAAGAGGAGATTGTGTGTAAACAAAATTAATTAGGCATCTTGGATTGCATCATTCCTCTTCTTAATTTTAATAAGTGTAAATAAAGTTTATAGAACTGTGATAATTTGTCATTTCCTGATGCTGTAAGATATTCCTTTAGCATTCCATTAACACATGTAGGCTCCTACCCCAAGGCCGTAACAGGTGTACCTACTTGCAAGTAAAGACGTAAACTTGCACTATAGCAGTCTAGCAGTGCACACTCAGCAGCTAGGAAAGAGCAGAATCTACTATTACATGACAGAGGAATAACAACAGTAAGTTAAGCCAAGAAGCAAGGACCAAGGTTCAGGAGTCCAAGGTTAGTAGTAAGAATTCCAAGACTGCATGGGAGCTGTGGAGTTGTTCCAATGAGTTTCTACACCTCCCTGCCGAGCTTTTAAGCAGAAGTGGAGAATGCCCAGCTACTCTCAAGAATCCCCATTCCTGCAATAATACCTGGCCTGCAGGTGGACTCCCCTCTCTTTTCTCTTGATGTGCCACCTCTCCCTGGGAGACAGCACCAAACCTGCCACATAGTCTCATCCCCTACGCCTCCTTCCAGTCTGAGTTCTTGTCCCTGTCCTCAGTTGCCTCCCACTTCTGGTCTGAATCAGGCAAAGGAAAATGTGATTTAGATACCACTTTCCTGCTAGGGATGAATAGCAATATATTCCACCACAGTAGCTTTTGATGTCTATTTATGGACCAGCAGCTTTGAGTTACTTGGCATCTCCTATTTTGCTGGAGTGTCTTTGCAGAAAGCAAAACCCAGTTTAGTTGTTTATAAACATCTGTTGAAATGTTGTAAATTGGATGTTCGGGATCTTAGAGAGAATTAGTGTTCCACTGAGTTCGGTCAATAGAAAGTTACTTTAGCATCTCTATGTATTGTTTCTTTAGATTTAACATGGAGATGAATTCAACAAAATTAAACGTTCGAGGTATACTGAAATTTACCACACCTTAATAGTAATAATAATAATAATAATAATAATAATAATAATAATAGGAAGGAATTGGCTAGTTCAGGTAGATGCTGGCAATGAAATGCTGATTAACACTTCTTCAAGATATATGATGTCCCATGTCCCCTTTCTGGTCAGATTTTTCTCCATATTAACTTTATCTTGGTTCTTGAACGGCTTAGTTGTCGAACAAATTGGCTCCCGAACGCTGCAAACCTGGAAGTAAGTGTTCTGGTTTGCGAACGTTTTTCAGAAGTCAAATGTCTGACATGGCTTCCGCTTGAGTGCAGGAAGCTCCTGCAGCCAATCGGAAGCCGTGCCTTGGTTTTCGAACAGTTTCGGGAGTCAAACAGACTCCTGGAATGGGTTACGGTTGAGAACCAAGGTACCACTGTATTGGGGGCAGGAATCCTTGATGTTTGTAGGTGCTAACACACTCTTAAATTATACTCCTGTGGTGTGGAGATTAACAGGTGGACATATTTGAGATTTACCCATTGGAAATAGCGTCCGTTCCCCCCCCCCAAAAAAACCCTCCTCAACCACTTTTGTGTCCAGATTTTCACTTTTTGAAATATGGCAACCCCATCTTATAGTTTGCAAAGATACTGCAGGGCTGGAAGGATGAACATCCACTGCTCAGTGGTCTGAAGCCCTCCAGCCCATTCTGTGTCTGAATGTATTCCTGCCTATACTAATTTATATTTTTGATTGCCTGCCTCTTCATATTTATATTTTTAAGACTAGGTCAATATCACTGGAATATTTTTATTATTAATGTCGCAGCTGGTGATGTTTCTTTTTTCTGTTATACTTGCAAAAATAAAATTTATTTTGAATGCTATTCTGGGCCCAGGGACAGTGCACTTTTAAAAGGAAGACGTTCCATCTACGTAAGAAAGTCACAGAGAACATTTCTCTACAGGCAGCTGTTTGAAGCAGCTGAAGAATGGTGCCTGGAATGCAAGAACAAGTCCTGGGGAGATGGCAGATGCTGCTAGCGTAAGAAGAGAACCACATCATTTGTTTTCTTGTGTAGGATCTGACATTCCCACTTGGCTGGTGCAGGCTTAGGAAAAAGGGACAGCTCAAATTCTAAAAGCCTTATGGGCGTAACAGTGCTTGAGCCACTATCACAAAATTGAGTCAAATCCACATTACATACCTGGAATATTACATACCGGCCTCTGCTGTCATTAATCTGCCTTCCTAACGGAAACATAGCAAAAGGGTAAGGCTGTGCTTCTACAGGTCAATCATCCTTGAAATAAATATAACCTTGTTCTCCCCTTCAGGAACAACAAGTACAGTAGATATATTATTTGGTTATGCTATTCTCATAGATAACCAGAAATTATCATACAATGAAATGCTTTCTGCCAGATTACACACCTGGGAAATGATCGGAAGCTCCAGATTACTTTCTCCAGGCCTACAAACCTGCAGGAACCATCATACAAAATGTAGCTGCAATATCCTAAGAGGTGTCCAAAATGCCCATCAAGGGGTCAAAACTCTTTCTCAAAACACCGTATTTTTTGCTCTATAAGGCTCACTTTTTCCCTCCTAAAAAGTAAGGGGAAATGTGTGTGCATCTTATGGAGCGAATGCAGGCTGCGCAGCTATCCCAGAAGCCAGAACAGCAAGAGGGATTGCTGCTTTTGCTGTTCTGGCTTCTGAGATTCAGAATATTTTTTTTCTTGTTTTCCTCCTCCACAAACTAGGTGTGTCTTGTGGTCTGGTGCGTCTTATAGAGCGAAAAATATGGTGTATAGTAGGTGTCTGCCCACCCTGCTCAATCTTGATCCAGACAAGTTTCAGGGGTTGATATTTACAGCAAAACCTACTGGCAGTTTTTGCTTATTAACGTACAGAAACAAAAAAAAAGTACTTTGCACTCAGATTCTCAAACTGTTGAATCTGTATGTGAATATCCGCAATATCAGTACTAGGCTGGAGGAACCACGGGCAGCAATACATATATCCATACCTTGAATGGGTTGTCTCCAGCCCAAGGCTCCCAAAGCAGGAGTTGACTTTTTGCTGTCGCTAAGGCTGGTGCCTGAAATTCAGCAGGCAGACTGAGCTGATCAAGCAAAGGCAGTAGGCCTGGCTCCTAGTCTTTGTACTCAACCCAGCCAACCCAGAGGCTTCACACTGCAGCCAATATTTATAGCTGATTATGCATACACTATTTTCTTCTGTGCACTCAGTTAAAAGGTAAAGGTACCCCTGCCCGTACGGGCCAGTCGTGTCCGACTCTAGGGTTGCGCGCTCATCTCGCTCAAGAGGCTGTGAGCCAGCGCTGTCCGGAGACACTTCCTGGTCACGTGGCCAGCGTGACGAAGCTGCTCTGGCGAGCCTGCACCAGCGCCGCACACAGAAACGCCATTTACCTTCCCGCTATAAAGTGGTACCTATTTATCTACTTGCACTTAGGGGTGCTTTCGAACTGCTAGGTGGGCAGGAGCTGGGACCGAATGACGGGAGCTCACCCCGCTGTGGGGATTCGAACCGCCAACCTTGCGATCAGCAAGTCCTAGGCACTGAGGTTTTACCCACAGCGCCACCCGTGTCCCTGTGCACTCAGTTATACAGTTGCAAATATAACATTTTAAGTGTGTTTTAAGTACATTATACAAATGTGACACTAGATGTTGCTGATGAGCTAAAGGCAAATTTTCCGTATGTACTTTACTACATTTTTTAAAAAAAAACATTTTCACAACATTTTTGAATATCTGTGTAGACTCAGCCAGCATCTAAAGAGGGCTCTGATAACAGAGGATTGGCAACACAGTATTCAGAATTGATCATTTGTTGCAGAAGATTGTTTTCATCCAAGATCCCAGTGTTCAGGAATGGTTGCAATACCAATTAAACTGTATTGAACTGACATAGAGACTTGGGTAATTTATCCATTTAGATTTTGATCACTGATGTCCGGATAACTGTGTTATCACAATTTTGATCCCTCTGGGAGGTAGCAGAACCAAGCGTGCTACCAAGTAGGTCTATATCCATATCTGTACTGTATCTAATTTCTGTTCTATGATATCCACTCTTTCTTCCATTTGTGTTGCATAAATGATGATAATCCTGCTTGCCTTACTGCTAAGAATTATTAATATGATATTCCTCTTAGAGCCTAGCAGTTTTATTTCAATATTGAGACCAGGCTGAACATAATTTACATTTGTTTATGCTACCAACCCTAGCAGTATCAACGTTAAAAAGCTGGTATGGAAGGAAAGCCGATCCATTTCAAATGCAAGCTACATGTCTGTGCTTGGCAAGGCGTCGCTGCTTCTCTGAAATGATCTGTTGCTATACAGATTGCATATATTACCTAAAATGTAGGTCAGAGCAAAAAAGGGAGAAAGCAATTTTAAACGGGAGAAAGCGTCAGAGGGTTTTCCTCTGTGCTGTTCGTTTAGCTATACTGTGGTGCTGAATTTCTTTGAAAAGGGAACTGGATACATCTAAGTCCAGTGACCAGAAAGAAATACGAATGGGCAGCTCTGCACTTCAAGATGGTGTTGACATATTTTTTCGTCAGCTCCAGGCAAAATGATTCACCCCCAGCCTTGCCTACAGTTACATTGGTCAGTGAGAAAAACAAAACCACTGAAAAGTAACACACACATAAGAAGCAAGGAGAAACTGAAGGGAGAGTTAACGCAGAACTGAATTTAGTCAGGGCAACACTTAGTGACATGGAGGTGCCTGTTGAGACCCAAAACTATTGTGGACTAAGGTCCAAACTACCCAGAGTAGTGCATGCTCTAGTTATCTCCCGCTTGGACTACTGCAATGCTCTCTCTATGTGGGGCTACCATTGAAGGTGACCCGGAAACTGCAATTAATCCAGAATGCTAGACTGGTGACTGGGAATGGCTGCCGAGACCACATAACACCAGTCCTGAAAGACCTACATTGGCTCCCAGTACGTTTCTGGGCACAAAAGTTTTGGTGCTGACCTTTAAAGCCTTAAATGGCCTCACCCAGTATACCTGAAGGAGCGTCTCCACCCCCATTATTCTGCCCAGACACTGAGATCCAGTGCCGAGGGCCTTCTGGCGGTTCCCTTACTGCGAGTAGCGAAGTTACAGGGAACCAGGCAGAAGGCCTTCTCGGTAGTGGCACCCGCCCTGTGGAACGCCCTCCCATCAGATGTCAAGGAAATAAACAACTATCTGACTTTTAGAAGACACCTGAAGGCAGCCCTGTTTGGGGACGTTTTTAATGTTTGAAGTTTTATCTTGTTTTTAATATTCTGTTGGAAGTCGCCCAGAGTGCCTGCGGAAACCCAGCCAGATGGGCGGGGTATAAATTATCACCATCATCACCATCAACATCATGGGGTATGATGGCACATTGAAAACACATTGACTTGTAGGGAGATACATGATCCACATCCCCCTTCCTAGTGTTATTTTTCAAGAAAAAGAGATGCCAGTACTCACCATGAACTTCTCCCTCATTCTCTTATAATGGCAATGGCACCCACCTGAGAGGTGCCAGAACTGAGTTCTGGAGAGCTCTGGCTGGAAAAGAAAGCCCTGTAGATAATGAGGACAAATGCTAGTTGAAGAGCAGACATCATCCAACATATTTGCAAGCAAATCAGGATGAATACTCAATAAACAGGTCATCTGGAAGAAATCTAAGTTCCATTGAACTCAATGCGACCTTTTCTCTGTAAGTGTGTAGCATTCTTGAGCACATTTGCTGGAGAGCAGATCCAACATAGCTCAGTGGGACTTCTGAACAAACATGCATTTGGATGATGCTGTAATAATGTTTTTTACTTTACCTGACCCTAATAAGAGCACCATGTTAAATCAAAATCTAGCTGCAATCAATGGGGCTTGAAAAAGACTGAGTGAGCTTCTTGAGTCTCAAAAGCACAGCAGGTACCTTCCAGCAGTTCATAAACATATTGTAAATGTTATCCATAACTGCAATTTTCTGTCACATTAGGAGATAATGACAGCAAATCATTACTGCAAATAATTCCGTTTTATCAAGCATTGTGAAAATAGGCACACAATTTCAAAATGGCTTCAGCTGGCTGAATGGCAGTGTTTATGTTTAGAAATGTGATCAGAGGTTTGTTTGCATTTTATGAAGGACGGCACTGTTTAATGCCAGTAGGGCTACATCCTACATCAATTTGTGTGTGCACAAATACAGCTGTGCTTTAATCCCTCCTGAGTCCATCAATACACCATAATATCGTCTAGAAATGGGGAAATATATAATCCTAAATAAGTGAGGAAAAAATGATTTTCCACAGTTATCCCAGTTCTTATTAGCCTTTCCAGATGATAGGGGGGAAAGGCAGGTGTTTCTCTCACTGATGATGCAGTATGGTTTTCTCAGAGATCTAGGCTGAGATACGTCTTGTGGGAAATATTTTGTGCTACAGGGAGATTGAGAGGTGTGTAACTTTGCTTATTAGTATTTTAGCAGGGGTAGCCTATGTGTTTTAGCTCTTAGAAGAGGAAGGAATGTACTGCCAGGTGTTACTTTTTGAAACGAGAAAGAAAGGTTTTACAGGATGGGAGGACATTGCTAGGCCAAATAGCGAAATCAGAAGCTAAACTAACACAGCAAATGAAAGGGGAAAGGATGTCTCAGTGGTGTCACAGTCACTAACCAATAGATGCCCACAACACAAGGGATTGATTTCCATTCCTATCCATGTTCATCATTATGCAGCGCTGTTACCATTCTGCTGCAGTTCGCCTTCTGACAAAAAATACCTTATCTGCCTTGCCATCTGCTGGGGCAGAATTTTGCATAATTAATTGCGTTATTATTACGCTATTCCATACCTATCATTTCAATGCAAAGGAAATGCCATGCAAATTGGGAGGGGGAGATGTCATTAATTATATATCCTTTGCAGATTGCAAACAGCAGTAGTGAATACAGTGCCCCAGTGTGTGCATTTTTATTTTATTGAATGTGTTTCTTTGTAAGATGTTCAGACTGCCTTTCTACTTACTTGCATAGATCAGTGTTCATTATGATCCTAAAAACAATGAATTAATAACACCTATAACAAGAAATGAAATTGCAGTCTTGGGAGGGCAAAACATAATTTCTTTGTAACTGATGTGCTAGCTGAAAGAAGAGAATTTAAATCCTCTTCCGACCTTCCACAATACTTGTGCTATCTGGGGACTGCATTTGGGTCCCTTCCAGCAACTGAGTAACGATTGCTTTATTGTACAGGGAACGTACAATGATCTGCAAAGGCCCTGTGGGACGTCAGGATTGTAAAAAAGCAAACTGGGGCATTTCCCATGGAAAAGCAGGACTTCCACGGGACAATCTGGCTTTGTCTGCTTCCTGATTTGTCATCGCAGTGCTCAGCTTCCCTTCCCCCCCTTTCCTGTGATGACAGAAGGCTCTCATTATGCTGGACTGTGTCCTAGCTGATAAGTTGTCACAGTTGATAGAGGAGCATCAGCATGACAGCTGAGACCAAAACAAACGGGCAGCATTGTGTTTCACTTGACATAGCTGTGATAGCCTTGCTTCAACCTCTCATTCTTAATTATGTGGCACCACAAATGAGTACAAGAAGTCAACCAGCAGAGGTTTCCAAGGGGTCGCTGTTGTCAGCTGGCATGATTCCTGAGCAAATGCCTCAGCGTAGAGAATGTGTGTTAATTCAATAAACAAAACAGCTTCCTTAGAAACCAAGAACACGGACATAAGAACTGCCTATAGTAGACTGGACCAAAGCTCAGGGGTGGGGAAAATGTGGCCTTTCAGATGTTGTTAGGGAGGAGAAGAACTATGGAGGTCATTGTCAGGAGTGAGACAGCAGTAAATCACAGTAAAACACGATCAACATAGCAGACCCTCCAAGTATCCCTGTTTTCCAGAGCTGTCCCTGATTTAGAGAAGCCGTCCCAGTTTCTGATTTGATCCCAGAATGCCCCACTTATCCTTAAAGGTAAAGGTAAAGGGACCCCTGACTGTTAGGTCCAGTAGTGACCGACTCTGGGGTTGCGGCGCTCATCTCGCTTTATTGGCCGAGGGAGCCGGCGTACAGCTTCCGGGTCATGTGGCCAGCATGGCTAAGCCGCTTCTGGCGAACCAGAGCAGCGCACGGAAACACTGTTTACTTTCCCGTCGGAGCGGTACCTATTTATCTACTTGCACTTTGACGTGCTTTCGAACTGCTAGGTTGGCAGGAGCAGGGACCGAGCAACGGGAGCTCACTCCGTCGCGGGGATTCGAACCGCCGACCCCCTTTTGATCAACAAGTCCTAGGCTCTGTGGTTTAACCCACAGCGCCACCCGCGTCCCTCCACTTATCCTTAGGATGTCCCTATATTCACTGTAGAAATGTTGGAGGGTATGGAGGTATCCGACCCCTGAGCCATCTGAAGGCAATCCTATATAGGGAAGATTTTTTTTTATTAAAAAAAAAGTTTAATGTTTTATCATGTTTTTATGAATGTTGAAAGCTGCCCAGAGTGGCTGGGGCAACTCGGTAAGATGTGTGGGGTATAAATAATAAACTTATCATTATGGAATGGGACATCCCTATTTTCTTCAGAGAAATGTTGGAGAGTATGACATAGGAGTGTCAGGCCTAATTAGCACAGCAATTCATCTCTGGTAGGTCTTGCCCTCATGAAGCAGTTGCTGAGACTGAAGTTCCCCACCTCTCTGCATCTGCCTAAGTCCCCTCCTTTCCAGAGTTTTTTCCCCAAAAAATCAGAGACTGCGCCTGCGTCCAACCAAGCTCTCCTCTGACGTCTTCATGCCTCTTATGGTTCTGGGAGGCAGGGAGGAGGGGAGCTTGTCACAGCAGGACGGGGAGACACCCATGACACCTGCCTCTTGGCTCCTCTCCTCCTACCCTTCTGCTTCCGCTTCTGCCTCCGGACTTCTCTCTGCTACAGATTCTCCCAGCTCACTAAACCCTGTTACCTCTTCAGCTTCCAACACCTCCTCCTCCCAGGCTTGTTGTAGGGGGTTGAATCAATATGGCAGGATGTTGAGAGAAGCTGATCTGTGGCAATCATCTGTCTTTTCATGCCCTTTCCCAACCTTTAGGCAGGATTGGGGCGCAGGTATTCTGAAATTAAGATGGAAGCATATTCAGACAGGTGTACCAACCGGTCCTTACCTAGCCTATGCATTTGTATGGGCCTATCTGCCCACATACATGTACCCATCTGCCCACATACAAGTACCTGTGCTATCTGTGGCCTAAAAGAAAGCAGCCTTTGTACCTAGGCGGGTAAGTGGTTCTTTTACAAGCCCGTATTCTGGTGCCAAATCAAGAGAAAACCCTCCAGTGAAAAACACACGGCTTAATTGTCCAGAATTAGATGTATCAAGCTTAGGAGAGGGAAATGCTTTGGTAATCAGGATAGGGGCACTCGCCCAGTTAATCCGGAAAAGAGCCAGCAACTGACCTGTGGGAGGAATGCCTGGTTTCCTTTTCATGAGGGATTGTGGCATGGAGCCAATCTTGATAAAACAGCTCCGCAGAGTGTGACTGAATGACTCACACTTAGCTCTTTACCTTACCTGCAACAGCTGCAGCCACAGACCAGCCTCCCGCTCCTGCCACCTCCAATCTTCCGCTGATTTCTGCAAAGCTGTTCCCCCGCAATTATCCCATCCTCTGGAGACTCATGGAAAAAGGACAAACTCAAGTGCGTTCCCGAGGAAGGCATTAAATGGCCAGTGACACTCTGTGTGCGAGGGCGTTGATTACAGAGCTTTCAAATGCAGGTTTTAGAGCTGCTTTGTTAAAGTTAACACCCCCAAACCACTGGGGGTATAGCAGGTTAAACATTTATGTGCAATAAATTAATATGATTTGCCTGCCCTCAGATGGTCTTCATGAAAGAGCATAGCTCAAACGCTGGACTCATTAAGGCTGCAAATGGCCTTGGGATCTTGTTGATGACAATAGTGGAAAACTGGCTGGGATTTCCCCTTAGCTGAAACTTTCCCCTTTGCTCTGGGGCCTAACTTTCTTGACACATGTAGAGATAACATATTTGCAGCACAGTCTTATGTATGTCTATTCATAAGAACCGGCACAGTTACAGGTGCCACATAATACCCATACTGCACCCATAAGAAACAAACAAACAAACAAACAAACGAACAAGAATGTTCCACTATGTCCAATAGGGCATACTCCCTGTGCTGAGTGCTGCAGTCTAACCAGTGCTATGGTCCCAGTGGCTGCTCCCAGTCACCCATCTAGCTGCCACATTCTGGATTAGTTGTAGTTTCCAAGTCATATTCAAAGGCAGCCCCATGTACACCACATTGCAGTAGTCCAACCAGAAGATAACCAGGGCATGTACCACTCTGGTGAGACAGTGCATGGGCAAGTAGGGTCTCAGCCAGCTTACCAGATGGAGCTGGTAGACTGTAGACAGCTGCCCTGGACACAGATGCTTTCTCTCAGTGAATAAGAGGCGCTGCTGGTCTCCTCCCAAGCCCTGTTCTCAATGTTGATCTTCGTTCCCACCCCCTTGTACCTGATGTAGATCTTCACTCCTTTCTTCTTCTTCTCTGGGAGGACAGGGGGCGCCATTTTGTGGTTCGCTTCAGGTGCCAAAATGTCTTGAGCTGGCCCTGTACCCAGACCTCAAGCTGGGCTGCCCTTAAGCATGGACAGCTGTCTAAGGAAACCCATTAGCTTTCTCTGCAGGGGTGGGGAATATTTTTCAGCCTGTGGGGCCATGTTCTTTTCGGGTGGGCAGCGTCAGAAGCAGAAGTGGGCGGAGCAATGAATACAAAATGTACCTTTGTACGATAGGCTCGTTTCACTCACACAACCCTTTTCACCCTCCCTCCAGGGAATCAAGAGGCATGATCAGAGTTCAAGGACACATTCCAGCCAGGCAAAAACCCTTAAGGAGGGTGTGAAACAGAAACAGTCAGGGGTGTGGCTGGGAAGGGTGTGTGGCCTGTGGGGCGGGGGAGATCCCAAGGGCCATACAGAGAGGCTTGGAGGGCCATAGAAACTCAGCCCTAACAATATTTGTGAAGAAGACTAGGTAGGATTACCCACTTTCCAACTGCAAGGTTAAGAAAGCCACAGCTAATCCATGGCAGGTAAAATAGAACATATGCTACTGTAAACCAGATCTAAAGGCTAAAGTCCTGGCTATGAGTAACCCAACAATTAGCACCACTTTGAATCAAAACTGTCCTATTTGTAAGGACTGCAGTTAACTGGTATGATGAATCAATGATCACTTGGTTCATTCTCTCCCACCTCCCGCAATTAGGTTTGAAAAAGGTGTTTTCACTTAACCTTCCCTCCATAGCCACAGTCTCTAGGAAGATCATATTCTGCTCCCTGCCCCACATAACAATTAGGCTTGAAAAAAATCTTCTAGGTTCCCCCCCACAGCCTAATTGCAGTGGTTCAAGAGGTGATTTCAGGAGAGGGGATCATAGCTGATGAGGGAAGGGTTAACTCCTACCTCCACAGTTGCAACCCCTGAAATTGCAACTAGGGTTGATTCTGTCATCATCTGTTGATGATAATTAGAGGCTTATTGCAAGCCATTACGGAAAAATCTAGGTGTGAGGCTGCTCTGTCACCCAACTTGTCGGGCAGAGCCCGCGGGTCCTTGCGGAATTAAGGAAGGAGTCCAGCCACCAACCGGAGCAAATAGCTGTAGACCAAAGTTTATTGCGCAACAGGTTCAAAGAGGAATTTTGAACCCCGAGGATGGGGTGACAAAGACTTTCAAAACTTTCCCACCATATCCCAGAATACAGTTTGTACAGCATCATTGCTACATCACTGACATGTCAGAAAAGGGGATGGGTAGACAGGGGTTACACTTGTTTAACCTTGGCAAACATGTCCAAACAAGTCCTTGGTACAAGATTAGCATAAGCAGACGCGGCAGGGCAAGACTCAGGTATAAGATTAGCATAGGCAAACACCTCTGAAGTCCCACCACCCAAAGTACAATAGAACTTCCTTTGCATGTCTGGCCCCTTGGCAAGTTTGGTGATGGGATTAGGCTTTCCTTGGCCAACAATCAGCCCAGCAATTGTTACCTCTGGGAACTTCCTGGAGTCCCTTTTCAAGGGGAAAATAGCTTTGGAATGGAGGAAACTGGCAAAGGAGTTGATTTTATATTATTTTTAAAGCTAGGCAACTTCCCTGAGCTGTCAAGTTGAGAGGATACATTCAGGCATAATATTTGTAAAATTTAACTTTAAAGATGTGCCCCACCCCGTAATTTCCGTAACAAAGCCTAATTGTAGGTGGGTCTTTTGGGGGAGGGGGGTCACAGGTGGAAGGGAAGGAGGTAATCCTCTGCTGTCACATCCGTCTATAGCTTGTAATCAGTGCTTTTTTTTTTCTAAAAAAAATGTTTAGGGGTACTCTCATTTTGACTCAAGAAAATCACCATTTTATAGTTCGAATCAGGAAAAATACAGCAAATGGACAAAAGTACAAAGAACATGCAATACTCATATTGAAATACTGCCTCTCAATGAGGCCAAACTTTCATCAGTAAAACACCACACATCCATATTCCACACTGCTTCACACATTAAATGCTCACTTCCGTCTGAGACTCAGGAAACAGTGGGAAAGGAAATGAAGCTGCCATCAGGAATAACAATGAAACTGACCAATCACCATGCTAGATTCCAACTCCTACTTCACACATTAAACGCTCATTTCCATCTGAGACTCAGGAAACACCGTCACAGAAAATGAGGCCGCCATCGGGAGTGGCAATAAAAATGAGGCTTCACCATGCTAGAGAAGAAACTATTTTTTTAAAAAAATTGTTTCTTCTCCTGTTAGATTCACAAAATGTTTAGGGGTATGTGTACCCCTGCGTACCCCCAGGGGAAAAACACTGCTTGCAACCTACAAAAGGCTGCTTTAAAGCCTAATTGTGATACCACAAAAGAAAGGAAAGAGGGCATTTTTGAAACAAAAGGTTCCCATACTGTAAGTCGTCTTTTTCCAGGACATGTCTTCCTCCTTCTCATGGGTAGAGTAATCATAGCGATCCATAGCTAAAAGTAGAAGTCAGCAAATGTGTTCTCTTTTTTGCGCTTCAAAATATGGCAAGGTAGATGTAAGTCCCTCTGAGTTCAATGGAACTTACTCCCAGGAAAGTATGCATATGCATAGGATTGCATCCTTTTTCACAGTCCCCTTTTCACTAGCTAAGGATTGGCCCGTTTTGTGTGCTGCCCAGCCAGGCTAAGGCCCATTGCTCATAGAGCAAGCTCCTACAGAACTGACTCCCACAGCAAATACACTTAGGAATGCAGCCTTCGTTTCATATAGCAGGAAGAACAGGATGCAGGCCAAAAGTGGGAGATCAATGCATGTGTCTGGCTCTCAGCATTTTGAAAAGGTCGCTGGCAATCTCTGCTGTTCTGCAATATTTCAGTATTTTGGTTCGAAGTTTACTTACCTGAAAGGCTGATTTGAAGTAAGGAACAACAACAGTCTGGGCCTCTAAGGTCATATTGCAGCAGTAACTCCTTTCTCTGTGCTTAATTGATATTTCAGTCACTGATGACAATACCCTTGTTTCCATCGGCTCATATTCGGTATTTAAGTTCAGGAACAGAATTCCTCTGCGATCTTTCAAAATCAACCCTTTATAAAAAGTGGCCTTTCACATTTTCTACCCTTTAGCCTGTGAAAATGTGTGTGTGTGTGTGTGTGTGTGTGTGTGTGTGTGTGTGTAAAAGGCTTGCTGAAATCTTAGAAGGTAGAAGTTTGGTTGAATAAGACTTCCAGTGTTTATTGGCAGAACTCCCAATCTTTGTCATGTCGCCTCTTCTTCTGCATAACCAGCAGAAGCAGGAAAAAAGCAAAAAAGGGGGCAAATTTATATTGGCTACAGAATTCAGCTTTTCTCAGTGCAATATTTGGTTTACTTCAGCATAGGATTATTTTTTTAAATATTTAATTAGAGTGGAGTATACACAAGCTAGCAAAGGATTGTATTTCAGCTATTGGATTATTCCTGCCTGTCAGCATCGCCCTTGAGCCAGTGCCACCAACTGGACTCATCCACTTCAGCCCTGACTGGGCCAGGCGAGCTGGGGTAGCACTTCCAGAGACCACCTTCTACACAGGAACAGGTCAAAGTGCTGTGGACTCACAGCTTAGTGTTGTGAGCACCGGATTCACTCCCACAAGAAGACAGTCGTCGTACAGCAGAGTACAGCAGAGTCTAGCAGAGTATATAAACGACTCGGAGAGCAGCTCTGTAGAATATCTTCTTTATTCTATAACTACAACTATTATACAACTATATACAGAGCTAAATAGGTCTAAGCATAATGAATGCTGCACTGCATTGAGTGTCTGCAGCTGCTCTTAGCAGCAACCTTATCTCTACACACGATCTCTAACACTCAGTCTCTCTCTCTCTCTCTCTCCGACACTGACTGACTCGGTGCTGGAGCAGAATAAGCAGAGAGCAGAACACACCTCCTCCTCTCTGGAGAATCAGCAGACTCCTCAGGAGATTCTTGGATATGGGAGGGGTGAAATCTCCTCACTGCCTTCCAGATTCATATCTCTGAGACTCCACTGCACTGTTATAGATGCCTAAAAGCCACGCAACTGGAAGGAAAGTGACAACAAATCCCAGACCCCATTATTTTATCTGTTAGATATCTTATATACACCATTTTTCCAGTTCCAAAATGGAACTACGGTTTCCACCCTTAAAAATCAGTAACACGATATAATCAATGTTAGAAAATGAACATAGCAGGCCAGTAAATAAGCAGCAAATATTGATAAGTATGAAGCACCTCAAGGTGAAACAGTAATCAATGCTCTAATGTTGAATTGCAAGTTCTATGTGGGTGATACCCATAAGATGGGTCCTGCAAGCATATGGGAAGCCAACAACCCTTCAACTTTTATCGCTCTGTCAGTTTATGTTGTCTTTCAAAGTTGCCTCCATAACCTGTTGAAAGGCCTTAAGCATGTCCCCTACCACCACCTAAGAGAGATGGTCCTCCAGAATCTTCACCATCCCTCTTAGGAGTTCTGAAGATATCAGGCTCATGGATGTGCCACACCTCTGCCCTTACCTGGGAAGCCAAAGAGTCAGCACCCAGATTCAGTCCTTTTCCATATAGTAGCAAGAAAAGATAGGCAGTGCGACTTAGTTTCAAAAGTAGTAAGAGTTTCTAAGCATTTGTATAGAAACACAAAGATGGCTTGCTAAAGCCATGTGGTGGAAGCTGGAGTATCCAGCTTAGATCTCCTTACTGGAGGGGTTCACATGGTGGAAAAAGAGAGAACCATGAGTTTGGTAACCCTAGTGACCTAGCTAAGTCTGACAGGATAGCTTACTCTATGGTCTTAACCCATTCATGCATTAATTAGAGTTAATCATGTTGGTTATAGGAAGCTGGATTTATCCCTCACTTCTTTCTTTCATCTTCCTCCCTCCCACACAGTCCATAAACCACGCAACAACTGCCAGGCACAACTGTTTGTCATCACAACCAATGGTGGAAGTGTTGCCTGTCAGTGTCCTGTGGGCCATGAAATATGCTCTCCACGCATGCATGGATCTTGCCAAGGTCAGAAGAAGATGAGCCTCAGAACAGGGGCAGATGTTTGTGACTTGTGCCCTAAAATGTTGATATAGCTGTCTCTTTAAATGACTCTTCTATTGCTGGGAAAGTGCTAACTTGGAACTTCAGAACGAACCTGTGTGAATGTGCTGAGCCATTTTTTCTTCTGCTTTGTCGGGGGGGGGGGGGAGCCCTCTGTTAGATGGTTCTCTTAACATGGAAATTGGAACCAAAACAAGACTGCTGAAACTCACACACTGCACAAAATAATTTGGGCATAAATCTGTATGTAGAGTCTTGTTTTGATTGTTGTTAACCTGGAGTGGAAAATTCATATTGCAAATGAGGTATGTTCTGCTAAAGGTAAAAAATCAAAGCTGAGCATGTGTCATATGAAATACAAACAAAACACAAACAATCACCTTGCTGTGGAATGTACCAGTTTATCTAGAAATCTATGGCCAGGTGGTCAGGTTTTGTAGGGTGTCCTCCTTTCTGGGTGGCATGATAATAAATGCAAATGAACATGGTTATATCAGCTTTGGTTTAAGAACCTAAGAAGAGCTTTCTGGGTCAGCCCAATGGCCCATCTAGTCTAGCATCCTATTCTCACAGCAGCCAACCAGATGCTTATAGGACACCTGTGCGGGTGGCGCTGTGGGTTAAACCACAGAGCCTAGGACTTGCCGATCAGAAGGTCGGCGGTTCGAATCCCCGCAACGGGGTGAGCTCCCGTTGCTCGGTCCCTGCTCCTCCCAACCTAGCAGTTCAAAAGCACGCCAAAGTGCAAGTAGATAAATAGGTACCGCTCAGGCGGGAAGGTAAACAGTGTTTCCGTGCGTTGCTCTGGTTCGCCAGAAGCGGCTTAGACATGCTGGCCACATGACCCGGAAGCTGTACGCCGGCTCCCTCGGTCAATAAAGCGAGATGAGCACCGCAACCCCAGAGTCAGCTAAGACTGGACCTAATGGTCAGGGGTCCCTTTACCTTTAAGCAGGATTCAAGCTGAAGAGCACTTTCCCCTCCTCTCATTTTCCAGAAACTGGTACTCAGAAGTGTTACTGCCTCCGACTGTGGAGGTAGAATATAGCTACCCTTTGATAGCTGTCTTCTCCACAAATTTGTCTAACCCTCTTTTAAAACCATCTTGGCCTCCTGTGAGAAAAAAAATTCCATAGTTTAACTATGCACTTCATGAAGGAGTATTTTCTTTATCTGTTCTGAATCTTCCAACATTTAGTTTCCTAGGAAGAGTTCTAGTTTTCTCTATGCCATGCATCGTCTTATGAATTCCATTCATGTTGCCTCCTCCTTACCTTTTCTATAAACTAAAAAAACAAACCCAAATGCTGCAGCCATAAGGGATTTGCTTGATCCATTAGTTCATTCTGCTTGCCCTTTTCTGAACCTTTCCCAACCCTGCTATATCCTTTATGCAGTGAGACACCAGAACTGCCCACAGTATTCCAGGTGTGGTTGAACCATAGATTTCTTTTCAACTGTGCACTTGAAGAAGAGGAGACCATCTGGCTGCAATGCACAGAATATACTCCTTAGGAACGGGGCTTAATGGAACCTGGGTCAATTCCTGTTTCAGTGACAGAGCTCTGAATACATGCAGAAATAATAAAGTACAGAGTATTACGGAAACCTTAGCAGGCCGGGAGCGAAACAAAATATTGTATTGTAGAGGAGCTACAGCATAAGTTTAAAAGAGAGAGACAAAAGGTAGTAATTAAAGGTTTTGGTGAAGCACACCCATCCCAACAGCTATTCATTACAATAATAATAAAAAAAGCTGTTGCGATGAGTGTGCTTTATTATTAGTAGTAATATTAGATGTATATTGTTATAGGTTAATAATACTTATTATTAATTCATGATGCCTTATTGTCTCCCTAAAGGCTGCATAAATTGATCCTTGCTGGATCAGACAAAAAAACCCTCATCTAGCCCAGCAGCCTGGTCTCACACACGACAACTAGATGCCCATGGGAAGCCCACAATCAGGACATGAGTGTTGGGGCATGTGCAGAGTGCCCATTCAACACACCAACAGATTGTGCAAATGGAAAATCCAGAAGAGGCTTGTCAAAGAAAAACACAAGGCAATTAGAGGAGGGTCAGTTTCTTCATTTGCACCCACCCTGATTTTTTATTATTATTTTAGAATCAGATGTTATCAATGCATCTGTAACTCTGACAAATTAGGTCTGCCCCTATAGTGAGAGCCAGTGTGGTGTAGTGGTTAAGAGCGGTAGTCTCGTAATCTGGGGAACCGGGTTTGAGTCTCTGCTCCTCCACATGCAGCTGCTGGGTGACCTTGGGCCAGTCACACTTCTCTGAAGTCTCTCAGCCCCACTCACCTCACAGAGTGTTTGTTGTGGGGGAGGAAGGGAAAGAAGAATGTTAGCCGCTTTGAGACTCCTTAAAGGGAGTGAAAGGCGGGATATCAAATCCAAACTCTTCTTCTTCTTCTTCTAGTGTTGTAAACAAAAATTGCCCTTTTCCCTTATGGGGTATCCAAGAGCCCATATAGAGTCCTTACACAGGTTCCCTATTGGTAGGAGAGAATAACAGAGGCCAACCAGAGAATATTGAGAAGCAAAGCAGCTAGTAACCTTGATCTTTATTGATCTGTTGAACAGGGTGCTCCCCTCACCCGCAGGAGAGGAGGAGGAACCCAGAAAAATGGCGTGCAAGGCCTTATAAAGACTTTTGAAATTGCCACCCTGTAGATCAAGACCACCCCCAGAAACATCATACATACATCACAGAAGGGGTGTAACCTAAGACCACCTCTCAGATACATCACACCTACATCACAGAAAAGGCGGTCTAAACAGAAATTTGAATGTTGTTTTTCTCCTGTCCTTGTTTATCTCCTGTCTGACAGGTTACTTTATTGGATTGCCTTGGGATCCTGGCCAATCTTTTGTAGTGATAAATACTTAGTTCCTGGGCCAGGTCACAGGCTCACACCCTATTC